ATTCCTCTTTGTAATGTTTAAAGCCAATCCCTTTACACCTTTCAATAATATTTTTATTAATCCTAAACTAAGTAACAATAAAACTGCGATAAAACGGAAGAGAGCTCGGCAACAAAGGATGATAAAACCCCTCGGGATGTTTTTCGTTTAGCGGCCATAATTTTGGAAAGTACATTCGCTCAGCCAATCCGTCCAAATGAATTATTTAATTTTACGTTTTGAGTTTTCGAGAAAGTTTCGGAGTTTGAACAGGACTTGCTATACGCAACGATAGCTGTTTCACCGTCGATTGACACAATGTAATCAATTTGTTGTGCGGAAATTTCTCTTATTTCATACAAAATATTTTTATGTTTTGGAATGATGTTGAGTTATATAATCTCTCTTAAAATAAAATAGACAAAAATAACTAATTATAAGTCATATTTGACCAATTTTCATAGCGAAAAAGCAGTCACTAATAATTGGTCAAATTCTACTTAATGAAATAGTCAAATTAGTAGATTTAAATTTAAAAAAAGTTTTGACCCAGTCGGGGATTGAACTCTGGTCTGTCACTTGTCAAGCTTGTCAAGCTGTTGTCATAACCCACACTCAGAGAAATATCATGTCATGAAAAGCATATGAAATGATATTAATTTAAATAATCGGGTAAATTTGATTCAAATAGAAAAAAATGTAGTTTTATATTCATTTACCAACAGTTTTACAATGTTTTTAAACACTTTTAAAGTGTACTTTTTTTAAAATATATATACAAAAAGAAATCTATTTATTTCATTGCCTTTCTCAACGTTATTTTAAAAATATATGTATTATACAATTGTTATACACCTTTTAATTTAATGAGAAACACCAATGACGCCAAAACATATTTGAATCCCTAATAATTCAAAGGGATTCAAATATGTTTTGGCGTCATTGGTGTTTCCCATTAAATTAATAGGTGCATAACAATTGTATAATACATATCTTTTTGAAACAACTTTGAGAAAGGCAATGAAATAAATGGATTTCTTTTTGTATATATATTTTAAAGAGGGTACACTTTAAAAGTGTTTCAAAACATTGTAAAACTGTTGGTAAATGAATGTAAAACTAAATTTTTTTCTATTTGAATCAAATTTACCCGATTATTTAAATTAATATAATTTCATATGCTTTTCATAACTTGATATTTCTCTGAGTGCATTCGGCTATCAGCCGCTCTTATAAAAATCAATTTTATTTGTCAATAAATATTGTCAGAAATAGTCAAAGATCTTAAATTAGTCAAACTTACGTAGTAAAAAATAACTAGGTATGTATTTAAAAGTAAAAACGACTATTTTATTAGTAAAAAATGCTGGTACTAATTTAAATAGTAGAATTTTGACTATTTCATTTTTAGAGAGTAGATTATTCTAAGTGGATGTAATCATCAAGTTACAAGCTTGTTTACATTTATCGTCAGAGCCGGCTTAAGGCAATTGAGCGCTTTAGGCACTTAAAAATTTGGCCCCTCTAACTAGATACTATACTTACGGGGCCCAGGGCAAATTATTAGAGCCACCCCAAACTGTTAGCTTAAGGTCGCCTGAGCATTATAACCTAATTATTCCCTCTGAATTAGAATACTTTTTATCATTAAAAAAATACATAAATAACATACAAACATAACAAATATAATGTAAATAAAAAGTGTTAGGACTTATTTATAAGTGCGTTTTTCTGCAAGATGTCATTAGTAAGTATTTAAAAAAAATTAAATCAACTTTAATTTTCTGTATTTGTGTGTTAGATGTACTGCTGGTTTGTTGTAATTAATTTAATATTAAAATTTCGAAATACCTTAAAACAAATAAAAAAATTAACACTATCTAAATATGGATTTAGCCAGCATTTTGTGTAACGTAATCTAACGTAACGAAATTTAATTTAAAAGCCAGGCTAAATCAACCTTAACTATCGAACACAGACTGCTATCACCAAACACACAACACATAGAAGTGGCACTCTTGAATAAACGCGAAAACACCCAAGTCCTTCCGGCAGCAGTTTCCTCTAGTATCGCGTACCCGCTGGGGTGAGCAGCACATCACAGCGGGTACCCGATGCAAGATGAATCCGTGTGCTTGGAGTATACGGGGGTATTGAAATAGTTTAAAGAGAGCTAAAGATATGTTTATACAGGGTAAAGTTTACAAATTAAATTATCTTTTAAGTTTTTGTTTGCAGTTTAACGTTAAGATTTATTATTATTTGTTAATTATACATTTAATAATAAAATATCTTATTCTACTTCAAAACGCAGTGCCCTCGTAATCAAGCATGGTGATATAACACCTGATTAATTTTATCTGAAATACATTTATGTATTTGGCATAAAAACAGAAGTGAATTTGCGGCACGCTTTTTTGTCGGCTTTACACCTCGTTATTACAAAGGAAGCTAAATTTTTATAAAATAATAAAAACAGTAAATAATATTCTGTCATTACAATTGTATATTGTTTATTTGTTTTATTTTTGGAAAAAATAAACATTTTGGTAACAATTTTTATTTTTTTTTTAAGTTGCTTGGGGACAAGGCGCCTATTTCTACGTGGCGCCTAAGGCAATTGCCTTGCCTGCCTAATGGGTAATATGGCCCTGTTTATCGTACATTTTAATTGTTTTATTTCTATGTTAGCATCATGGAGTGAAAATTTTATTAAAGAAAGGCGTAAACTATACGTTTTATAGAAACAATTACTTTAATTTTGGTCTAGGGTTTATAGGGTCTTTAAAACTTTATTAAAAACCAAAAAAAATCGATTTTTAATAAACCCAACAATTAATAGTATTGTATTATTATATAGTATTATATTATGTATCAAGTTTTATAAATGCCATTTTAGTTATGAGTTTTATTAATACGAGCGAAGCTTGCAAGCGAGAGTTTAATAAAAACGAGTGTTTAGAGAAGTTTATAAAACTAGTTCCGTACTGTACTTTATCTACGACGAACACAAAGAAGAATTTAAAGCCAATTTTATTTGTTAACGGATTTAACCTCACTTTTCCCTTATTTTTAATAAAGCTAACTTCAGCCCGTGACTAAAAAGCTATGAAGTCATAGCTAGTCAATGTAGGAGTAGATAATAGTATGATGTATCAAGTTTGATAAACGCTATTTTATACACGAATTTAATTTAGGCACGAGCGAGCTTGCGAGCGAGTTCTTAAATTAATGAGTGTATAGAAAAGTTTATAAACGAGGTGCATACTATACTTTTTCTACCACAAATACTTATTATTATCTTAAAATGATTTAAATCAAACATTTATATAGAGCGCCATCTATGAAACAATAGGGGAATCTGTGTGTCACCGTCAAATGTAAATTTTTTTTATTTTATAAACACAGATTATAAAGGTTATAAATCGAAATGTATTTCTTGAAAATTGACTGTTTTTTATGGTGAAAGTAAAGAAAATGTTTTATGAGCACTTTACAGTGGAGTCCGTGCCCGAATTTAAGTTATAGTTTACTGCCGGCGAAATTAAAAGGTCAGTACAATGTTCATATAAACTTTTCAAATATTGGCGTTGAGAAACTATTTAGTACTTTTGTATTTTTGTATTGAGATAATAAAATAATTTTCATATTTAGTATTATTTTACAATATAGGCACCTTATTTTAACGATTGTATGACATTTGACAACTGTCAACTAACTTAAAAATAACTTCAGCCCGTGACTAAAGCGCCATAAAGCCACAACTTGTCAATGTGTATTTAAAAGGTCATGAAAACATGTACGATGATAAAGAGCGTTTTAAAAGAGGGAGTAGAAAAATATCATTTATATTTATATTATAAAATGTTTAATTGTTAAATATTATTTGTTATTCGATAATAACAAGAATATTTTTTTATTGCTTCGTAACCATAAAGGAAATACAATTTTACTTATACGTTTTATTGCAAAGGAGAAATTGTAAAAATAATTGATTTTCCGGATTTGTATGGCAATTAACATAAATATTTATTTGTTATAATCATAGACCGAATTATATGCAAACGCATTTTACTGATAATGCTGAAAAATCTTAGTAACATTCCTATTAGTAAAAAGTAAAAAAAAATCGAAGAAAAGTCTTTTTATATTACATATAATAATAACTATTATTTTAAATTTCATTTTCGAAAATTTTAAATTTTCTTGATTTTTTTGACAAGATTTGTTTAAATAAAAAACAGAAAAATTAACTATAATTACACTGGTCCACAAAAATTTTGCCACATGGTGGCCATCAACTTTTCATTAAGCTTATTCCAAATTTTGGTTTCATTTTTGTGCCATTTTTTGAAATTTAAATGCTCAGTAACTAAAAAAATCAGAATATTTTTTCCGTTCGAAGAAAATTTCATGTGCCGCCACTGCTTATGAAGAACCAGTTTGATTGAAACAGCAGGACTGGTTTCTATTAGATAAAAGTCAATGGCACTATTAAGCTGGCTCATTTGTTTTTGTTAAAATTAAAACAAAGTCAAAACCTAAATATAATTATTATTGTTAAAAAACATGACTTAATAATATCATGAATTAGGAAGAAGGTATATATTTTTTTAAATTACTTTCACTGCATCAAAATTATATTGTTAATATGATTTTATAACATTTTTCATATTAAAATTAATAAGTATTATATAATATATAAATTAAATTAGTTAATTTGGAATTTAATTTTAATGACTAGGTTAATAAGTTAAACAGACACGATATGATATAATTTGGTAGATTATGAAAATATTTAAATAAATTAGCAAGATTTTAAAGCAAACATTATGTAATTTTTTTAAAACTAGGTTAATAGACATCTTAATAATAAAGTTTCACAAGTTAATAAATCAAGAAGAAACTGTTCTACTTCTGCGTGCATTCATAAAGTAATAACAATTTTTTTTATTATTTTTAAAAAAAAATATTTAAAAAAATTACCAATTAAAAATATATTAATATAAAATTGGACCTACCAGGTACAGGAGTTAGATAGAGTATAGTAACCACTGCAGCCACCATAGCAAAAACTATGCAAAGTCTAAAAAACAAATTTTGATAATTGGTAGCCATAATTCCTGCAGTTTTGCACATTAAACTCAATTCAAAAAAATCTTAATCCGCACCAAATCGAAAACAAAATTCACTATCACATGGCCTGCGTTGTTTGGTTCCTGCTGGGTTCCTGCAAAAACGAGACTTGACTTTCACACGCAAAATGATGGACTGCAGAACCAAGCAACTCGCACCTGGTCAAGTGGTGCCAGCACACCGAATGCATGGGGCTAGGAAGTACTCGGGTACCCGCTCAGTGAAAGTGGTACTGGACCGAAAAAACAAGGGAAATATTCGTGCAGAAGAAATTTTACTTTTTATTTCGTTTCTCGATTGTGAATGCTTGGCAAGCCATACGTTAATGATCTTGTCATTTATATTTAAGTTGTTTATTTATATAAAACTATTTTCTTGATATACGAATAAAACAATTTATATTAAATATATACAGGGTGCACCATGTATACTTGAATGGGTATTTTTGTATTCCAATAGTTACAAAGTTGGTTATATATGTATATGGGTGATTATATTGAGATTATTTTTTATTTTTGGTTGTTTCACTGTTAGTCTAGAATGGGGTTTTTGGGAAGCCACCAGGTCTAGTAATAACATATCATAAGTGGTTCAGCACTAATGCAATAATTTTAAGAAATCATACATTTTGAATATTAGAGTTTCACGGAAGATAGCTTCACGGAGGTTAGGATTTTTTATGTTTTTTTTTAAACACACCTCTGTATATTTGAAATAAGTTATTGTATCTTTTGACACCTTAATATTTTTTAAAAATACAATTGTACATACATAAAATCTTTATTAAAAAACTAATTACTTAGATATTACACTTCACGGTGGATATGTTTTTAAATAGCAAATGAATGAACTTAAACTTTTGAATTATAAAACAGCAACACTCTCATCTGCATATAAATTCTAACTGACCTTCAGGAATCACAGGCATCTATAATGTCGTAAACAGAGGTTTTTGCTTATTTAAGATGATTAAAGCGCCATCCGTTGCATAAAATTTAAAGCAAAAACAGATTCACGGAGGATAGAAACAATTTTTGTAACACCTACATAAATGGTTATAAAAATTGTTTCTTTAAATTTTTAATAAAATTTTATCAAATATCACGGGGTAACACCATCGGGGGACATTTCGTGAGAATCCCCCATATATAAAAAAAATTTAATGACGTTTCAAAAATAAAGGGGATTGGCTTCTATTTTGTAGTTTTTATTCTCCCGGCGTCAGTGCAGTGTATATTTTTTATATATTTAGATATTTTGTAATACACAATTTTTACTTTTTAACGTGTTTTTATACGGATTTTTTTGATAAACAGTTATTAAGGGTTTATAAATTTAAATTTTAATTTTAATATTATAATGTTTTAGGAATTTTATTAAAAAAAACAGTATCCAAAAAAGTAAAAAATTGTTATTAAAGTTTTAATTTTTGCACAAACTTCAGAAAATATATGGTTATATGGTAATAACCATATTTGTGATTGGTGGAGAGAGAGAGAAAAAACGGAAAATAAAAAAGAATCTAAATGTGACGTATGACCTTGGGGGAGGAGGGGATCAATACTGTGACAAAATGGTACAGGGGGAAGGGTGAACCTTAAGATTTTTTTTTATATTTTGTGCTGTAGAATCACCCCTTAAAATATATAAATATGCATGTATTCTCTTCTATTTCTATTGTTTTTGATAATTTGGAATTATATTAAATTATAAAAATAATTACTAAAATTTGTTTACAATAAGAATTGAAGAATCACTTACATTAAGTCAAGTTGCCTTTAGTGAAAGTGTTACCTAACAAACAAAAAATTAATCGAAAGAAAGTTGATTACCTTTAAAATTTTGGAGGTTTTTCAATTCTGGCCCAAAAACAATAATTTTGTTACCTTATCGATTATTTTAAAAACTATAGTTTTTAAAATAATATAAAGAATTCCGAGAATTTTAATAGATTTTAAATAAGATTACTATCTTTAATTATTTTTACATAATGCACATTTTCATAAAAGTAATTGCATTTTGAAATGCTTAATCAATACACACTAATGAACAAAATTAATTAATCCTAATTTTAATAACCAAGCTCGTGGTTCATTTTTATTGTATTTTTTAATGGTATATTATATTATACGTAGATTTTGCTTTTATTTTAAATGGAGTTTTTTTTTAATCGTAGCAATTTTCCTTTTCAAATCATTGTTTAATTTTCTCTTCCAGCCGATTAATTAATTATACTACTTTCATCCCAATACAACTGACAAGAATGATTTGAAATTAATAGTCTTATAGTTTCTACTTAAGTGTTATATACTATAGTGCACATAAAGAAATTACGTAATAAAACTGTTTGTTCGCAATATAATAAAATTTATTAACAATAACAGATTACAATTGTTCAGACTTCATTATGGTTTCCTGAAGGTTATGTCTTTTTCTGGCTGAAAGCAGTCTAGAACTGGATTCACCGAATTTTGAACCCACAGGAACTAAGGGCTTTTCTTCCTCTAACGAGTCTTCATTTGCTTCTAAAAAGATAATTTGTTTAATACATTTTTTCATGTCTGTGTATTTGTACTACCTTCTTCAATACTGTCCTTTGAATCATTTCTTTCAGAAAACTTATTTGTTATTCTTTCCAAAACTTGTACTAAATGTTTTTCTACCTTTGAAACATCTTTGACCTCTTCAAAACTGCTTTGTGTTGCTCTTAATTTATCTTTTTCATTTTTGGCCAAAACTGTTCTAAGAAGATAGCAAAAAGAACCATCAATTACGTCCTCCCAATTCTGAAATTTTAAACCGAATTTATACAATTTTAGTCTTAGTTTGTATACTCTATATATTACAATATACCTGGGTATCAACATCCACAATATTCTCACAAAAAGTGGCCTCAATATAATCTTTAATATCCTTCTTAACATCCATAATACCAATGAGATTTTTGATGACTTTTAAGGCACAAGATAACTCAATTTTAGATTGTTTTAATTCCTCCATTTCCACCCCCAAAGCATCGGTTACTTTGACGATATCCTTATGTGTATCCTCTAAGAGTAATTCCAAATTAACCAGTGATGTTGGGTTTTTTACTTTAAATTTGGCAATTAGGCGTTTTTGTATCACCCTATACTGGCAACTTAGTTGCATTAGTTCGGCCTGATAAAAATAATAAAATAAATGAAAAGAGATTAACAGGTAGCTAGAAACGTCAATTATGATATCGTTAGAAATTGGAAATAATTTTGAAACCTAGACTGTTGAATTGCATAATTAAAATTTTAATCAAGATATTGGGAAAATCAATTAATTTTTAATTTAAATAATTGTTTCCAAATTTAATATACGTATTAAGTTTTGTTTTTATTTTAATTATAAAAAAATTTCAGTTATATGTTTTTAACCTATAGCCGATTTTTACCCAATATGCGAGTAGCAGAGAACAAAATCAGAAGCAGACTGATGTCAATAAAACATTTTTGGGGAAGCTGGACAGAAGCAAATGCGGAAGCGGAAGTATAAGGGAGGTTTTCAGTAACCTTTATATTAGCAATCATTTCTTTTTTACATTTTACTAGACAGGCATATTTTTTATCGATTTATTTTACCAAAAGTTCAATATCTTATTAATTTACTTTTTAATTTTGATTTTAAAACTCACGTTTTACATGACCGTCGTATTTTCCTCGAGCAAAATCCATTATTTGCGATCTTCTAAAAACTTAATTCAACTTTTAAGTAGCCAAAGAAAATGATATTGAACAAATGTTGGGTTTTAGTGTTATAAAATTGTTTAAAATTGTTTAGGCTAAAAATAATAACTGAACGTTATCCAGACGTTTTCTTCACATAACCGTAGAAGGACTTTTAGGTCGCCTATTTGCGTCTAGATTGTACTGCATGTGTGAATAAAATATATTATTATTGCAAATGGCGACCGTTAAGTTTGCAATTCAGTTAGCGATATATTTACAGTTCCTGTCGTGTATTTTGATATGGAAAAGGTACGTTAAAGTTATTCGTATTTTTTTTATTAACATGACCGTCTATAGTGATAAAATAGCAACATAAATAGTTATGTTTTTTTGTTGTCGGTTGTTTACCGGTGGTAACTCTAACCTAAAATTCACAACATGGGGATACTTTTTGTTTTGATCAAATAAAAAGGTGTGAAATCACAAAAAAAAAGTATGCGACGGTCATGTTAAAAATTTGTTTATTTTTTATTTAAAACCCTTTAAAATTTTATTTTTATGCACAAATCACTTTCTTTATCATTCTGGCATATTTGACCAAGTTACCTAAAAGAAGTCACTTCGAACAATTTTTTTTAATTAAATCGGAATCTTAAAAGATACTAAAACCACCTATAAAAGCTTCAAAAAAATGTTTGTAATATACAAAATGCGTAACCAGATGCAGAAGCGGATGTGAAAAGTGTGCGGAACTTCCGCAACACTATTACACAGTTATACCAGGGTCCAAAAAACTTCTTGTACCTACTCAATCTTTGGGATAGCTTTTAGATTTTTCAGTCATGTTTATTTTTGTAAACAATAAAGTCACACAGGGTCATATCTGGTGAATATCAAGGCTGGGGCATCATAAGGATGTTGTTTTTGATCTCATACTAAATGACGCGGAGTAATAAAACCTTACTCTCTAAAAATGAATTAGTCAAAAAGGACTAGTTACTACAGTTATTAGTAGCTGCTTTTTCACTTGTACCATTGTTAACCATGGAATCCCAAAATTTTATCAGCCAATTCTTATGTAAAATAGTCCCCTGAATCCAAAAATACCGTCAAAAATTATAATAAAAGTAGAGCAGTTTTTGAGATATAGTCAATTCCATATAAAATGGAAAATTGACTATATCTCAAAAACTGTTCTACTTTTTTAACTTTTGATGGTATTTTCGTAAATTGCTATTGACGAGAATTATAAGTGGCTGCTTTTTCGCATTAGTCATTTTTGACTAAATCATTTTTAGATAGTAGAAACACTTTCTATCGTGTAAAAAAAGGAATGTATTCTGTGTATTCTTTCATGTAGTTACGCCACTGCTTTTTAACAAAATTAAACTATAATGAACATAATTATTACCTGGAGATTTTTCACCCGCTGTCGCACATTAAAATGCGAATTTACGTAAGAAAGGAGCTCGTTAGCAGGCAATGCTGAAGCGTAGGAAACCTTAAATTCGCACTTATTGGAAAAATGCTTCGCTAAACGCACAAGAATGATCTCAATTAGCAAGTTGAGCGAGGCAAATGAGTCCGATTGTAGTCGATACCTTCCCGAAGATTTGGCCAGCAGTATCGACACCACTTTTCCTGAACCCGAGATGTTTTTAAACCCTATCGCGTTGTTGGAGTTTTCCACGGAAAATTCTAAAATTGTAGGTTTTTAAAACACTGTATTATGGGTGATTCTACAAAAGTTGGACAACTTGATGTCATCAGTCAATAGAGTAGGTATTTTAATATTTTTTGTAAATATTTTAGTATATTACAAAAAATCCAGGTTTTTTTAATTTGTCCACCCAATTTTAATGTATTTAAACTTAATAAATATTCAAAACATCAGTACCTTGGCGGGTCACAAATCCTGAATCAAATATTTGTGTGATTCTATTTTAAAATATATTAAATTTATCTTAAATTTTTCAATTTCACTACAAACTATGAAACATTAAATAATGTATTTTTCATATTTTATCATAGATTCGAATAATAGCAATTTAAAAAAAAAATGATAATCTTTGTACTCACTTTTACCCGTCAGTTCTGTGTCCAATGTTAAAATTCAAAATTCCTACGAAATATTGAAGTTTAAACGTCAAGTCCTAGTTTTAACTAAAGTGTTGGTAAAAAACTACCTACAGAGTCCGCCCTTTGCACGATAGTCATCTTGAAAACAATGCAAGCGGCGAAGTTGTGGTGAATGCACGTATAGTTTCAGTCAAAATTTCATTACGGTGGTGAGTAGTTATTTTTTTACGTAGGTATATATATTTGATTGTAATTTATATAAGGTTATATGTGATTTGTTCATAAGTAGCATCCACTAATAAAAAATATCAGTAAAATACTTAATTCCGAATTATAATCTCAAATTTATATCCCATTCATCAGTACCGTGTCGTCAGTTCCATGTTCGATGTTTCGGTTATCTTTTTTTCGCAAACTTTAATTTAAATTCTGCTTGCGCAGAACTTGTTTATTAATTCTCATTATAAAATCATATAAATTTGGTGTGGGTCCCATATCTAATAATTGAGATATCGTATACGCAAAATCCACCAGCCGCCACTGATGTGTGGTATTATTTGATTTTAAGATATTTAATGTATAATATGCTCAAAGTTGCAATAAATCTTATAATTTCCAATAAATTATGTATTTAATTAGTACCCTGGTATACTCGTCACTTCCCTTGCATTCAAATTTAGAAAACACAGATATTTCAGAAACTGTTTGAAAATGTGACTGGCCCGGTCTGGAACAGTATATTTATTATATTATCTATGTTCTCATAACAAAATACTGTTTAATTTTCTCCGAAAACTATACATATAAACAAAATGAGGTCAAAAGTTGCCCAACTTTTGTAGAATCACCCATATGTTATATAGACTTACCAGGAAACAAAACAGTCAACGGCACTGGACTTTCGTTAACATTAACCGTAACTTTATGCGCAGAGTCTTTCTGCGCAGCACAGCTGTCCACAGCCAACGTTATAGGCAACATAACGTTCTTGGTTAGCGTTCGGGGAACCCCCAAACTCGAAATATACGATGCCACAACCGTCAAATTCAAACTGCAAACTTCGTAACTCTCATCCAAAAAGCAATGGCAGTTCACCGAAGTCCTTTCGGATAAATTGGTGAAAAAATGGACTTGCGGCGTTACTTTCAAAGGCGTTTTAACGCAGTAGGATAGTTGAAGTTCCTCGAACACAGCTTGGGGTACGACGTCAATTTTTATGACGCACATTTTTTGTTTTTCTGTAGTGTTTATGTTTGTTTTGAACGCGCCCTCTTCAAGGTGCGGGCTTGCGTTGATGATTATTGTTAATTCTTTTTCTGCCGAAGCGTTTGTCACCTTGATGTCTGAAAAGTTGTTTAAGTGAAAGTATAATTATTTAACGAGAGTTTAATTGTTTGTGTTAAACATTAATCTTAAACATATAAGTATATTTTAAAGGCTAATTGTAAAATAAAATTAATCAACGACACATTTAGTTCACTTTCAAAATGTATCTGCATTTTTACTCTCCTGAATTTCTCTTTCTTAAAATAATCGACTGGTCGATAATTTTTGTTTTACTTTACTTAAGGTTTCACAAAGTAAGCAATATCATTTTTAATATCGTTTATATATTTATTTTTCCTCTCATAACTGTTTTAAGAATGTTACATTAAGATAGATATAATTGTTTTAGAAATGGCTTCTTAAGCTTGATATAACTGTCTTAAGAATGTCAACTTAAGCTAGATATACGAAACTATTTTGAAAAAATATTGCTACACAAACAGCCACTGACAGCCTCTTCCTCTTCTGCTGGGTTAAAAAAAATACTTATATTGCTTTCTGAAAAGCCCTCTACCTTAATTAATGAAAGTCCCGTCAAAATCGATTTAGCCGGTTGGGACAAAGAATTTATCTCTTTAGCACTGAGTGCCCAATTGTTTGCGACTCACCCCTGTAAAATCTTTATTTATTGTGCGATTTTACCGGATTTGTTTTAAAGTGTAGATCTTGATAAACTGTGTTTTTGGAGCAAAAAACACCATATTTTTACAAATTACAAGGCCTACTACGTCAGTTTTTGAGAGTTTTTAAGAATTCATATTAGCTATTTAAAAAAAATCTATGCACGGCACTGGAAATTTTTAAGTAGGAACGATTTTGTAGCTAAATTTTACGGCATAGTTTTATGCTTTAAAGGTAATATGTTACATATTATGCTCTCTTAAAATGAATTAGTCAAAAATAACTAATTATAAGTCATATTTGACTAATTATCATAGAGAAAAAGCAGTCACTAATAATTAGTCAGATTCTACTGAATTATATAGACAAATTAGTAGATTTAAATTTAAAAAAAGTTTTGACCCAGCCGGGGATTGAACTCAGGTCTGTCACTTGTCAAGCTGTTGTCATAACCCATTCGGCTATCAGCCGCTCTTATAAAAATCAATTTTATTTGTCAATAAATATTGTTTATAATATTTTAAAGATGAATATATTATTTGTGTCGCTGTTTTGAGCTAAACTTTTCGCATCTTTATTTGTTTTTATGGGTCATTTAACCATGGAGCTTAGGTATACGCATTTAATTCAAATAATACTTTGTTGTTGGCCGCAAACGATTAAAGAAATTAGTTACTTTTAACTCTCAGAAATAGTCAAAGATGGTGACTAGTGTTACATTAGTCAAACTAACTATTTACATAGTAAAAAATAACTATTTAAAAGTGAAAACGACTATTTTATTAGTAAACAATGCTGGTACTAATTCAAATAGTAAAATTTTGACTATTTCATTTTTAGAGAGGGTATAGCATGTTTTTGACTTTTTAAATGCATAAAAATCCGAGCCCTACTACCCAGAATATGTGGGTAATCTCCCGGATTTAGATAGAATGCATCAAAATAATATGACAAGTTCCTATAAATTTCAAAACACTCTATTTTCAACTGACACTGACATTATTATTTGAATCGGTAGGTAAATGTAAAAATAGTATATTAAAGTACAAGTTGCAGAAGGCCACATATTCTCGCACGAATTCGAAATTTGGCCTCGAGCGACGAAGGAGCGAGTGGACGAACGAATGAGTGCGAGAATAGCCTTCTGCAACGTGTGATTTATACTATTTTCTCGATTTTAACTTTTATTTAGGTTTTTTTAATTGTTTTGTGGTCGTTGTTAGTTAGGGGATTTTTCTCGCAAAATGTCAGTTGGCAACACAAAATGACAATATTTGTTATCCTGCACAAGTACAACCTGAACTGCACTTTTACACATTAAACTTAAAATTTTGCATTAAAATGCATTGTTGGAGCAAACTTTATATTACAAAACAATAATAAAGGCTTCATTTTCAATAAAAGTAATGAATTTGAGGTTATTAATCAGTTTGACATTTTGGGGGTACCAATACTTAAAAACTAAATGTTACCAAAAATCGTTTAAGAATGAGCTTCATTCTTCAACGATTTTGCGTGCGAGAATATGACATTCTTACATAAAAATCGAGAAATACTTTTTTTTTGTAAACAGTACATTTTTTTTTTTAGTTGTGCCTTTATTCTACAGGTGGTTAAAAAAATAGCATTACTCTGTTAGAGCCAGTCCGTCCCTGGCAAACTAAATAAGCCAAATGTGATTAAAAATGCCCATTTTAAGGAAACTTTTCTAGTAACCAACATTTTGAATAGTATATTAAAGAACTAATCTCGTAAGACGTCATTTTGTCTTTTTTGTGGACAATTTATAAAACGAGCGACGAAAGAGCGACAAAAGGTCTTATGACATGAGTTCTTTATGCTATTTTATCTATTTTACATAAATTCTATAAAAAAAATTAATTTTATACCTTAAATTTAATTTGGTCGAATTTTACCCTAGATAGTTGGTATCACAGTCATTGGTTTGACAGTTAATGTCAAAATCGATTCGCCATGCCGTCCTTAATTTACTTATTTACAATAAGCGGCTGTTAATGTTAAAGAAGAAAAAAAAGATTTACTTTGGTGTTAAACAAAATTTATTGCCAGAAAAGTCTCGTAAGTACCAGAAAAATCATAAAAATATTATAAGCAATATGCAAAATATTATGCTGTTTAAAGTATAGCCAACCTATAAAATCAAAATTTTGGGTGAGATAATGAAGTCATTATGAGCGCAAAATAGATAAAAAAATATTAAACTATTTTAATCGGGAGATTGTCCACATATTCTGGGACATTATTACTGTTTTGGATGCAAGGACAAACTTTTTAAAAAATTCGCATTACTTTAAACATAAAATCTAGCCGACTGATTTTCTTACCATTTCCATGCGCACTCTTAATAATCCTATTTAACTCCGCCAGTTGTGTTTCGGCCTCGTCAAAATTGATTTCCTTAACGTTTAGAACAGGTGCAACAAATAGACTGGGATCTGTTCCCAAATAACAGCATTCCAGGCGGCCTTCTTCCGATAGCAAAACCGTCGCACCCCATATACCTCTCAAAAACGCTCTTGTAATACAAATCGGCAGAAATTGTAGCTGAGCCGACCATTTTACCGAGCTGTTTTGGTAGATTATTAGTGTACTTGTTTCGGAGACGATGAGGGTTAAGATTCTGTCATCTAAAATTAAATTATATGTTTCAATTTTTTTATTTTTACATTGGTAAAACGCTAAAGAAGTATCGCTAGTTACCATCGTAACAAAAGTACCACTTTTAATAATCAGCTGTCAAACGCTTATGTTACAAACGAGTGTTTTTTGAGAATAAAGCCGGAAAATGTTAAAAAATATCGAACAAAAAACCGTGGCACGATTTGTTGTGTTGTTGGGTGTATTTCGAGAGGAAATCCTGGGTTGAGTTTTTATCGGTTTTCCAATCAACAGTGTTAATCCGAATGAAGAAATAAATTTCATAGTCCCTGTAAATATAAATTGTATCTATTAGATACAATAAATACACATTTTAGTAATGATTAACGTGAAAAGTGTTAACATTTCAATTCAGTAAAAATCGTCAAACAAATAAGTCGTCTAAATTTAAACAGCATTTAGCATTATTAAAAGCGTTGATTAAGAATTCTTTAGAGAACTCAAATATCAAAATGGCTGATTTTAAAGTTATGTTTGTGCAAAAATTATTTTGTACAAATTTCTTAAAAATATCCAAACCTAAAGTCAAGTCAAATCCAAGCCGGACTCTACATAAACACAATCATGCGTTGTCCATGCTCTATTCACGTGATCGACAAAAATTGTTGCACTGGGCCGTATCAAAATATATTGAATCAATATTATTGATCATTTAATATTTTAAATTTTTTTTTTTTAACTTTGATGGAAAGGTTTTAAAATATTTATAAAATTTATATTTTTTAAATTACGAAATTAACAAAATTTTGGGAAATAATTTCATTATTATTTTAAATTTATTTTTTTAAACTTTAATGTAAACTTTTTAAATTTTTTACGAAAATTATATTTTTTAAATTTTTGAAAATTATTTTAAATATTGTTTTAAACTTTAATAATTAAAGTTTAATGAAAACATTTATAATAACCTCTTTTATTTCCAAACTTAAGTGATTTCTTTTAGACCGTTTTTTAACTGGGCTTAAGTCCTCAAAATGTTCAGCTTCGTCTGTGCTAGATACGCACTTAATTGAATAATAATAATAACAATAAAAACAAAATAACCAAACCAATGATAGCAATAACAACAACAATAACAACAAACAACGTTATATAACAAGTATTAATAATAAAACAATAACAAAAATAACCACAAAGATGAAAGCCGCGAAAAAAAGGAAGTAATCAAACAATACGCTATTAATAACCGCGACATAATGCGGCCCTGGCAAGAATTTTCGGCACGCTTCACAACTCAGAATCGCCCAATAAGAACCGTTCTATCCACCTGCAAACGACTGATCACGCGTCTGGCGTTTTTTGTTTTAGTCCGTCTTGGATTTGACTTGACTTTAAATATAAATTATATTAGGTAAAGTTATTATTAGTTAATTCTGCACCAACAAATGTACTTATAGACCAGGGTCGATAATTTTTGAAACCAAAAAAAATAACAGTAGGATGAAACCGATTGGAAAAGGAGAAGAATATAATAAAAATGAAAGGAAAAATATATTACGGGCGATCTGACTTCGGGAAGTGGGAGGGGGGGTTTTAAGGGTAAAAAATGGTTTATCTCGATTTCCGGCAAAACTACAAGTCCTATAGAAAAAAGTTAAATAGCAAAGTTGTAGGTAATAAAAGGATCTACAACTTTTGTAATTACAATTTTTTTACATAACCTCAAAATTTATGTGAAAAATTCAAAAAACCAAGTTTTTGGTTTTTTATTTTTATCTTTTTCAAAAAAAATTTTTTTTCCACGAAATTTGGTGAAAACTTACCTTTTTATGTCCCAAATACACTGTAATTTATTTGATTTGAAATATTTATTATTTCGCCTTATTTTGACTTAATATCAAAAAAGCACCCTAATTTTCAATCGAAAATTCTCGCGTCAAAATATCAGCTTTTTCAAAAAGTCGGTGTGCTTTTTGTTCGTTGAAATCTCTACTTTCTGATGGTGTAAAAAAAATATACATTGCCATGGTAAATGTTCTCAGAAAATGCAAAAAATATTATAATGAATAACGAAAATTTATTTTAATCATTATGTACAATTTCATCAAAAAAATGTGATTGTTGCAATTTTTTTAGTTAAAAAGTTTATTTATTAAATTCTAATAACATTTATGTCAGGAAATCTCATAAAATATAAAAATACATGTAAATCATACTTACTATTGAATTTAGATACTTCATTCTGATTACGTTATTCATTATAATATTTTTTGTATTTTCTGAGAACATTTACCATAGTAATGTATATTTTTTACACCATCAAAAAGTAGAGAGTTCATCGAACAAAAAGCACACCGACTTTTTGAAAAAAGCTGATATTTTGACGCGAGAATTTTCGATTGAAAATTAGGGTGCTTTTTTGATATTAAGTCAAAATATAGCGAAATAATAAATATTTCAAATCAAATAAATTACAGTGTATTTGGGACATAAAAAGGTAAGTTTTCACCAAATTTCGTGGAAAAAAGTTTTTTTTTTGTAAAAGATAAAAATAAAAAACCAAAAACTTGGTTTTATGAATTTTTCACATAAATTTTGAGGTTATGTGAAAAAATTGTAAATACAAAAGTTGTAGATCTTTTTATTACCAACAACTTTGACATTTAACTTTTTTCCATAGGACTTGTAGTTTTGCCGAAAATCGAGATAAACCATTTTTTACCCTTAAACCCCCCCTCCCACTTCCCGAACTCAGATCGCCCGTAATTTATTTTTCCTTTAATTTTTATTATATTCCCCTCCTTTTCCAATGGGTTTCATCCTACTGTAATTTTTTTTCTCTTTTTACCATTTTTAAAGGCTTCTGCACTGGTCTATTACTGAATTGGATCCTTAGGCAAAACATGAAAATGCAACGATTTAGTTTTTGAATTTTATTTACAATTAAAAACACAATAATTCACCATAATCCCTTAGATAAAATACACACACTAACGTAACTATATATTATATATATACTGTGCGTTCAGGCTAAGTTGAGCGGTCTAAGGAATGTCACCCCGTCCATAATCTCTATGTTCAGGCACAATTAAATACATGTATTTCGGTAGTCGCTCTGTATTAACAAACGGCAAGTGGCGGCACTGATAAATCATCTTCTTGTTACCGAAATCTCGCGACGATTCGATATTTAAATTAATCAACGGCCACATGATCCCCCACCAAAGCGCTCAACTTAGCCTGAACGGACTGTAGTATATAAGCATTTAAGCGTTGAGTTTCTTAATCAATGATATAAAGAATAATCAATCGAAATCGAGTACTAAACCAGTTTTTTAATTTTTTTCTTGCAACGTAAAACACAGATAACGTGCGCGATTTAGTTGTGCAATTGAACAAAATTTGTCGAGTAAGACTTCTGCCTTCCTCTTTTGTGAAAAAACTACCAATTTATTTAAAAATGATGTACAGTTCGTATGCTTTAAATGTATTGTTGACAATTCTTAAATTCACGCAATGTTTTTGAAGTCCACCAGATGGCGCGCGCGTTGCTAAAACCCGATACTTCTTTAGCGTATATCAAAGATTTTTGCCAGTTTTTTTTATAAATAAGGTAAGAGACGGTCAGGAAAAGTACTAGTGCTTTGATGACTTGATAAACTTGTAACTTAAAAAAAATAATAGAGAAGTAAAACTGACAAATTTTATATTAAAAAAATGTTGGATCCAAATAATAAACTTTATAAAAGTTTATAAACCGAAATTACCTACCCAAGGTGTACGGGTAAAAACAGATGGGCGAGTAGTCGAGTTTCTTCATAAACTTAAGTCTGCCTCTATCGCTCAAGCAAAATAAGTTTCGCTCGCCCAAAATCATGATGGATGACTCTTTTTTCGCGTTGTCCTCGATTACCTTGATATCCATGGCGCACTCTCCCAAATTGTAGATCCAGTTCGGCGACACTTTAGTGGCGGAGTCGCTGCTGTTATCATCGTTGTCTCTTTCGCTTACTTCCGACAATTTTTTATAGCTGGACATTTATCGAACAAATTACTATAATTATTATGTTTGGGTCCTATAGGGGTAATCAGTATGACACGATTAAGTTTTTAGTTTAACAAAAAGAAAGTAAAAATAAAAATATTAAAAACACCAAGTCCACACTGTTATACAAATCAGATTTGTTAACATGAGTTTGTAGTTTGTAACATTAAAATTGTGGCAGTTTTTTTGCCTGCAGGTGTGTATTAAGCAATACGTACACTGAAAGAAATTTGTTGCTAAAAGTAAATACAAATTTATACTAAAAATTTTATACTAGTGCTTTACACATTTATACTACTGTTTATTATGAATGTATGGTAAATTTTGTAATACATTTATTGTAAAGAAGATATGTTAGATCTAAATAAAAATAAACTTACCCTTACTATAAAATGTAAACTATAAGTGAATTACAGCAAAAAAATATTGCTAGAAACACCATTTATATTGCTAGGGCAGCAATAGGCTTCTAACCAAACGAATATATTTGTTTTAGCAATGTATGTGGTAGTCTATATATGAAACATAAAATATATTTGCCCTAATTATTTTTTTATTTAACTTTAGTATATATTTCTTTCAGTGTAGGTATATTTAGATATTTGTAAGAAAACTAGACAACTAAAAAATCGTGAAAAATAATCAAAAATCAAAACTTGCAGGAAAAAACAAAACAATATTATTTGTGGTTAGTAAATCAAGAAAAAATTTAGAAATGTTTAATCTGAAAAACGATTAAAATTATGAAAGTCAGAAACAAAATACAACAAATATGCATTTTTTATAAATATATATTTTGCGTTCATAATGACTTTATTATAACACCGCTTTCGTTGCTGTAATGAGAAAGTTTATCCCACCCAAAATTTTGATTTTATAGGTTGGCTATACTTTAAACAACATAATATTTTGCATATTATTGGTTATAATATTTTTATGATTTTTCTAGTACTTACGAGACTTTTCTGGCAATAAATTTTGTTTAATCCCAAAGAAAATCCTTGTAAATAAGTAAATTAAGGACGGCATGGCGAATTGATTTTGACATTACATGTCAAACCAGTGACTGTGATACCAACTATCTAAAGTAAAATTCGACCAAATTAAATTTAAGGTATAAAATTAATTTTTTACAGAATTTTTGCAAAATAGATAAAATAGCATAAAGAACTCATGTCATAAGACCTTTCGTCGCTCGTTTTATAAATTGTCCGCGTGCGACAAAATTACGTCTTATGACATTACTATTATGTACTTTTTAATCCCGGCGCATCCACCATTTTCTGTAAAAAGTTGAAAAAATAGTTTTAAAACATTATAAGACCTTATACACTGGGTGAGTTTTTTAAAGTGTTACAAGGGGATATTTTGAAAACGGTTTAAAAAAATGTTGTGAAATTTTCGTTAGGTACCTAACATTTTTTGACATCTACCTATTTTCCTATTTTAAGGCGATCTTTAGTTAGTTACCAATATTTTACAAAAAACCGTTTTCGAAAAATTCCCTCGTAAAACTCACCCGTGAATTTTTTACGTAATGAAGAAAAAAATATTATTTTATGCGCAAAAATATAAATTTATGCAAAGTGCCGCAGACAGCGCCCTCTACAACGCTACATTAATTTTTTCTTGTTCTGAAAACCCTCAAAAATCAATTTTTTCTGCAAACGTTTGTTTTTTCCATTTAATAGATACAGTTTCTTAGTTATTATCAACTTTTGTATAAAACTTCTATAAACGAACTATTTTGTGAAGGGACATCTTGTATAATTTACAATAACCAAAATACCTCTAGGTATAGATACAAAAATCCAGCCAAACAGTATTTTTTGGCAAAAATAAAAACAAAAAGAGAACGCGCATTAAAAAGCATTACAGTGTTTTTATATTTTTGTTTGTTTGTTTGTTTTTACTTTAAAAACTAATATTTTGTCAAGTACAGTTAGAAAAACGTACAATTTTAGTTTAATTAATTGTTATCCATTAAATTTTATAATATTTGCATTTAAATATATGCCTATAGGCCAGAGCTGGGCACGAGTACTGAAAAAAGTATTCGTAAAATTTTAAGTACGAGTACTTAAAATATTTACTCGTAAGTACTATTTTCACTAATAACTGTGGTAATTGATCATTTTTGACTAATTCATTTTTAAAGAGTGTACATTATACATACTTTGGTCTTGAGCTATAAAAATACAAATACAAATTTATAAAATTATTTATTTTAAACATTATGTACACAAAATAATAACAATTCTTAAATAGTTTATAATTTTACCTAATTACTTAGGCTATAATATATTATATTATACTATATATTATATAATTTAAAACATACTTCCAAACAAAATGTTTTAATGCTTACGATATTTTGGCAAAAAGTCATCCATATAATAAACGAAAATACTCGTATATATTACTCGTGAATTTCAGTATTTTTTACGAGTACATTAAATTTGGTTTGTAAGTACGAGTAATAAGTAATTCAAATGAAAAATACTTATGAGTAAAAAAGTACTCGTACTTTTTACTCGTAATTGAAATACGACTAAAAGTACTCAGTACTTGGTCAACTCTGCTATAGGCATGATTTTTTAGTTAAATGAACAACAGAGGTAAAATAAATGTAAATCTTTAAAAATATTAAAATTTTTATTAAAATTTGCTTTCTTTAATTTTGTCAAAAATGTTTTTATTATTATTATTATCTTTATTTATAAACAAATAATAGTAGGTATATTTTGTATAAAGAACTAATGTCATAAGACGTCATTTTGTAATGGACGAGTGCATTTGTAATGGACGAGTGCGACAAAAGGTCTTATGAAATTAGTTTTTTATGCTATTTTATCTACTTTGCAAAAATTCTATAAAAAAAAATTAATTTTATACCTTAAATTTAATTTGGTCGAATTTTACTTTAGATAGTTGGTAACACAGTCATTGGTTTGACAGTTAATGTCAAAATCGATTCACCATGCCGTCCTTAATTTACTTATTTACAATAAACGGCTGTTAGAAGAAAAAAAGGATTTTCTTTGGCTTTAAAGCCATAATTTATTGCTAGAAAAGTCTCGTAAGTAAAAAAATTATAAAAATATTATGCTGTTTGCTGTATAGCCAACCTATAAAATCAAAATTTTGGGTGGGATAAAGTATCTCATTACAGCACCCATTATGAACGCAAAATAGATAAAGAAAATTATCTTTAATTCCGGTAGTTGTATCGTTTTATTTAACATGTTTAATAAATATTCATAATTATTTTAAAACATCGAACTTTCTTGATAATCGGAGATTTATCTACAAATGAAAAAGCTAAAGTGAGCATAATTTTTTCTAAAAATAGCAGTATTTAAAACTGCAAATCTAAAAACTATAATCGTGGCAAACCAAAAACAAACAAAACACAAGATATATATCCTCACCAATAACTTTCTACACACCAGTTCGATGAACAAGTAACGAAGCTGTCGGTTTTAAAAACGAAAGACATCGGCGACGGCAGCAGAAAATCCGGCAAAAAACAGCTGAAACTCGGAGATTCTTGCTCGAAAAAAACAAGCAACCCGTCCAGCGACTGTACGCAAACGAAATCCCGGTTGCCTATGCCCCCAAAAGGACCGATCACAAAGTTAGCTGCGGATCTTTTCAAGTGATGTTCGTAAAGGACGTGCAGCAAGTTTTGAGTCCCTAAAATAGTGTTTTTTGGTTATATTTATTAGACTGGGCAAAAAAAATGGACTATTTTTTTGAAAAATATATCGAGAATGTCATTCAGAATGACAAAAAAAAATTCGTGAAAATTTGAGCCCTTAATATTAATTTTAAGAGGTCTATCATCGCTATTTTTGATTTTTAGTCATAATTAGTTAGAACTGTCAAAACATTAAAGTGAAAAAATTCCTTTTCACTTATTTCTATATAAAATTAAATTCTCTACAATTGAAAATTTTCGTCAGACGAGCCGTTTCCGAGTAATTGAGCCTAATAAATCGATGTGTTTTTTCGATTTGCCCTTTTTACTTTGAAATTTTGTAACTAATGAATTAATGAATATTTAAAAAAGCTAACGTGGTATTCTTAAAGGAAATTTAATGTTCTACAATAAAGGTCTCTTAACATTTTTGCCTAAATTTAATTCTTCAAAAGTTATTCACGAAGAAAAAATTGAAATTTTAAGTTTTTATTCGATTTTAATCGTGAATAACTTTTGAAGAATTAAATATAGACAAAAATGTTAAGAGACCTTTTTTGTATTCAATGATTCATTAGTTACAAAATTTCAAAATAAAAAGGGCAAATCGAAAAAACACATCGATTTATTGAGCTAAATTACTCGGAAACGGCTCGTCTGACGAAAATTTTCAATCAGACCTTTTTTGTAGAGAATTTAATTGTATAGAGAAATAAGTGAAAAGGAATTTTTTTCACTCTAATGTTTTGACAGTTCTAACGTAAAACATCAAATTATGACTAAAAATCAAAAATAGCGATGATAGACCTCTTAAAATTAATATTAAAGGATAAAATTTTCACGAAATTTTTTTTTGTCATTCTGAATGACATTATCGATATATTTTTCAAAAAAAAAATAGTCAACTTTTTTGGCCCAGTCTAATATTTATACAACATTTTTATTGAAACAATATTTTACCATATTCAGTTGACCCTTCCTTCGTACTTAACGTATAAATAGAAAGAATTCTACTATGTAGAACTGCTATTTGAAAATTTAATGAGCCTCTGAAAAAGACACGTTTTAATTACATAAAAACCTTTTATAACAACGAAACGCGTCATTAAATTAAAATGCATTCTAAACCGTTCCTGACAAATAGATAATTGATGAATGATGAAACAACAAGGACGTCAGAAGAAATAAAAAAACAATGAAGACTAAAATATGAACGTGGGTTTTTAGAATACGCAATATAAATTCATTCAACATCGAGTGAAATAACTTTTGAGCTAAACGCTCACTTACGATATCAATCTTCCAGCTCCAACCTGCAAGATCGCATTTCCGATAATCTGCTCTATCAGTAAATCGGTTGGTTTGAATCCCGATAGAGCTTTATTCTCCTGCACCTCACTGGACGGCTTAAAAACTTTTAAAACTCCACTGTGGCTTCCCGTTACTATAAAATCGCTTTCGGTATTCAATCTCGTCACTATCAACGAATTTTGATCGAAATATTCGTCATCTTCCGAACGAGTGCACCAGAATTCTCTAGTTTTAAACAGAGACATTTTTAGTTTTCTGTTTGAGAATACATACAAATTTATAGTAATCAGAAGGTTAGGAAAATTATCGATTATTTTGTGAATGTAAACACATGATAGGAAAAATCGATATATTAGTAAGCCTACATGAAAGAACGTATAATTTGTTATCGAAATATTAATTTTAAAACTGGTTCAGTAATATTTTAACTTAAAATGATTTTATTGTTGTTTCTATTGTAATATAAAAAAATATCTGCTGAATATAGGCAACCCAGTATACAACTATATCGAAAACAAGTGCCTTGGTTAGGCAACTACGAAATCATCCCTGTATATTGGGTTGCCTATATGAGCCGCAAAATATTTGAGTTTTACCTTTCCTAATTAAATTTATGCAATAAAAACTAAAAAAATCGTGGGAAAGTTAATAAAAAATAAAACAATAAACAGATTAAAATATCACATTTATTTATATATAATTTGTAGGAAAAGTAGATAAATACTTTGGCTATATGAATTCTTAATTCTAATTAACATGCTATAAAAAATATTAGAAAAATAAAAAAACAATACACAAAAAAATAAAGAGATCTAAAACAATTTTAGGGAACTTACATAAATAACAATAATATTATAGTAATAACATACACCTACGTAAACAAGTTTTAACAAGATTTTTTAACTTGAGTCTGATGAATTTGTTCTTATGTTAAGTTTCTGGAAACAAACAATTTATTCTTAAAGTTCCACCAAGAGTATGAGTACTTACTTTCTTTGCATTTTGATTTCCGGTATTTGGAGGCAAAATTACACCATTGTGAGGAATTTGGTATTTTATATTTGCATTTGTCAACTTCATGCATTCTTCCAGGGTTTTAATAAACGTATCACAAGTTGCCCCTAAAAGTCTTGTTGATTCGTCCATTTTCTAAAGGAGATCAAAATTCAATTTTTAGGTATTTTAATAAAATAAGCTACAAAATTTACCATTTTTAAATTTGTCATATAATATTTTAATACATTTTTCAATATTGTGTAACTTAATCTTTTCACTTTAACCAGGACCTTTACAAACTGGAAATAAATATTTTTTTGTAATTATACAGGGAAAATTACGAGTCTGAAAATTCTGTCCAATCATTTTTTTATGCACTTGCAATTTTTCAAGTATAATTATAAATACAAATTTATTTTTTAAGTGAATAGATCTTGGTTTTAGTGAAAAAATCAGGTTAAACAATATTGAAAAAAATATTAAAATCCATTAGGAATTAGATATAATAAAATTTAAAAAATTATAAATTAACTTTATTTTTGTTTGGTTTATATTTTTAAATTATTACCTCTATGTTAGGCCCTTCAGATTCTTGTGCAGAAGTTTTAATAACATGCACTTGCTGCATTAATAAGTCACAGTAAAGTCTTAATTCGGATTTTTTTGTTTTAAGCTGATCTGGATTTCCATCAGCTAAAAGTCATTAAAACCATTTACATACAGAATCTGCATTTTTATTTAAAAAAATATATTTGATTTTTAATTTTGTATTTTGCACCATAATAGTACATTATGCAACTAGTTATATAAACGTGATTTAATAACTAATTTAATTATGCACGAGCGGAGATTAAAGCGAGTTTTAAAAAGTTTATAAAACGAATTGAAAACCATACTTAAACTACAACAAACGCAAAATAATATTTTTTCAGAATTTAAAGTCTATTTTAATTGACATATTATCTGACATCTGATAACTGTCAAGCTGTTTTAACCTCACTTTTTAACAATCTGATATCTGTCAGACGTGTTTAACCTCACTTTTTCCCAATCTTATACTTATGCCAAACTGTTTTAATAACTATTTAATAACTAATTCAATTAAGCACGAGTGGAGCTTAAAGCGAGTTTTAAAAAGTTTATAAAACGAATTGAAAACCATACTTTAACTACAACAAACCCAAAATAATATTTTTTCAGAATTTAAAGTCTATTTTAATTGACATATTATCTGACATCTCAAAACTGTCAAGCGGTTTTAACCTCACTTTTTAACAATCTGATATCTGTCAGACGTGTTTAACCTCACTTTTTCCCAATCTTATAAGATAAGTATATATACTTATGCCAAACTGTTTTAATAACTATTTAATAACTAATTTAATTATGCACGAGCGGAGCTTAAAACGAGTTTTAAAAAGTTTCTAAAACGAATTGAAAACCATACTTTAACTAGAACAAATGCAAAATAATATTTTTTCAGAATTTAAAGTCTATTTTAATTCACATATTATCTGACATCTGATAACTATGAATTGGTTTTAACCTCACTTTTTAACAATCTGATATCTGTCAGACGTGTTTAACCTCACTTTTTCCCAATCTTATACTCGGCCAAACTGTTTTAACCCTAATCTTTCCCAATTTAATGCACTAGTGCACTAGTAACTTTTTACACATTAATTGTATTAAAATTACTTTTTGGTTTGAAAAGAATCTTTTTTGCGCCCCTTACATCTCAAAGTATGAAGTTTAATACAGAAGTGAACTGTTAGGTATGTATCTAAAACACTTTTTATTACATTTTCCAAAATGTTGTAGAAAAAAATGTTAAATGAAATAAAATATATAAAAAGGTTGTCAAAAATGTCTAAAATGGTCAAAATTCTGAGATGGCCAAAAACGGTCAAAATGGTCAGAAAAGTCAAAAATAAAAAAACAACATACAATTCTGAACATTAGACTCACTACTGGAATCCTTTTTGGTTCGATGAACACAGGCTTTGGCACTGCCCAGTGCTACCAACCACTGCTGCCGTTCTTGTGAAGAGGCAGCCCTAAGATACATATGCTGTTCATTCGGTATTACAAGATCCATACGCGTGCTATCAATCGCGTTAACTGAAATTAAAGTTCAATTAATCCACTATTGATTTTCCTTCACTTAATTTTTTAATACTCTACCATTGATTTCGCATGCTTGGACTTTGAGGGATCCCTTACATCCCTGATCCACTTCCTCTTGGGATTTGTAATAAGTTAAAACACCGTTTTCCAACACAAACCAACGTATCTGCCAGCCTGAAAGAAAAATGTTAACTTTCACTTCCCAGATTTTACCTTATTTACCGTTCCAGTAGTTTGTCCATTTCCACAGAATGCCCTCCATTATTTTAACATTATTTTCCCATCGATTTAATGCAGTGAAGAATGAAAATCAACAAAATACGTTGGATATTTATTATTTACACGACTAACAATTTTTCATATGGTGTTTGACACATTCACCCAAAAGCCATCTATTGACACTACGACGAACTAATTCCATGTGTCTCAAATACATCTAATAATCAATTATTTAAAGTCTAATTTAATTATATTTTAATTTTTATTTACATAACGATACATATAATACAAATATTTAGCCATAATTGCAAATTAAGACTTCAAGACAATCAATTAATTTCCCATTAGAGTCGTAACTTGCGACACTATTGTTTGTTGACATCCAGTGGGTGTGGTGAAATCTTTGTTTTTCTAAGTATTTTAAATTTTAATTGGCCCAAAAATGATAGATAAGCATTTGTTTACATGTTTAATAATTGTTTCCATAGCAATAAACATATGTAAGTCGCCTAAGCTCTCTAATAAGTGAAAACTCTAAACCTAACCTAACAATTAATTTGTAGGCCAAGCCTTAGAATGTTATGTTTGCGAGAATCAGGAAGATAACGAAGGTAAATGCACGAGAACGATACAAACTTGCCAGTATGGAGAGGATACATGTCAAACTGAAATCAGTTGGGGTACAACGCCATACTGGCAAGAGGGGGCCTTAAAACAGCATTACATATCAAAGAGATGTTCGACAAAGGAAAAATGCGAAAAGCATAGACGCGGTCTTATGGACACTTGTACGCACATTTGGTATCAGGATTGGAAGTGTTCTGAGTGCTGTAGAGGTGATAGGTGTAATTATTATATTATCGTAAGTAATCATGTTATTTTTATAAGGTTGTCTTATTTTCATTGACTTTTTTTTCAGTCTGGTGCTACAGTGAAAACTTATCATGCTTCGGTGTTAATTAGCACATTTATGGCACTATTTTATCATTTTTATTTATGAGTAGGTACTTTAAAAATTTTTAAGTATGAGTCATGAAATTAATTGGTGATTCAGTTTTATTATTTTAACATAATTTGTACCTAAAGTACTTTAGGTATATAATTCATTAAATTTTGTGTTCAAAGCATTTTTTGTACATATTTTATTTATTTATAAGTGTATTAGAAATAGTAATATTGTGAACTAAAAATCCGTCCATTTTGTGATTTACAGCTTTTTATAAAATATATTTATTGAATTGTAATAGATGTTACCTAATTGGGAACAAGAAAATCGTCCATTAAATAAAAAAATAAACATACCTTTTGTAATAACGTTTTTAATAAAAAATTGTTTATACTTTTAAGTTTTTTTTTAAATATTAATTAAGTAGGTACATTTTCCAATTAAAAATGATTTGAGTATACAGGGTGTCCCAAGTAATTTTAAAAAGTGAAAAGTATAAAAAAACGTTTAAACCATTATTACTTTGTAGTTACCCACATATTAACAAATTAGTTATAACTTACATTACTTATTACTTATTAGTTATAACTAACTATAACTTTTTATTAAAGAAAAAATAATTTCTATAATACATATAAAAGTTTTAAAATAGTAAAAAAAATAGTTTTAAAAACCTTATAACTCAAAAACTACACTATAAAAATTGGTATGGCGTTAGTGTGCGGTACACCCTGTATATTAAAGTGGTAAATGAAATTTTGATTTGAGAAATACATCAAAGAATATACATTTAATAATAATTTACTTTATTTAGTATTTTTGGCCTTTCATTTATGATATATCTAAACATGTCAGAAAAAATGTAAAATAAAAAATACTAGGTATACAGGGTGTTTCTACCCAAAATGGACCATGAGGTTGTTGATCTCATAAACAGTTAAATATGGCACGCCGTTTTAGCATTTATTAAATAATAATTTGAAGATTAAAGTTTAGGCACTTTAAAGTGCTAAATGATGTTTTAACAGAAACTTACATAGTCAATTTTTTTTAAACTCAAAACAATTGATTGTAAAAAAATGTTTTAAGTACAAAACACACTGCAAAACTTTAAGCTTAAAAATATTGATTTTGAAAAATTTTAGTTTAAATATTTTATTCTACAAAAATTTTGGTTTAAATTTGTAGTCATTTAAACGATGGTTGATTAATTTTTAATACAAAAATTCTCAAATTACACTTAAATGTAAGTTTTTAATTTGAAAGTGGTAGGTAATTTTTGGATTAAAAATTTAAATGATTTTACAAATTCAACACTTTTTACTTTTAACAATTTTAAATTTACTTATACATTTTTAACACAAAATTTATAACTTTACATTATAATGTAAGTCGATAATTTTTAATAAAAAAATTACCACTTTAATAATTAATTAATTAAAGTTTAATTTAAAACTAACATTTAAATGTAATGTACGAATTTTTGTATTAAAATTTATCGACTATCATTTAAATGACTCTACAAATTTAAATCAATAATTTTGTAGGATAAAATATTAAAACCTCAATTTTAAAAACCAATATTTTAAACTTTACATTTGCATTTTATATTTAAAATATTTTTTGATTATCAATCGTTTTGAAATAAAAAAAAATTAACATTTAAAACTATTTTGGTAGAAGAAGTTTTATATGTGTAAACTTTTATTTTAAATGTCTCAGAACTATTCTTTAAATACTAAAAAATTTAACTTTACCAATTTATCTAAATAATCTTATAAAAAATTTATTTAGGATTTACAAAATTCTGCCCAAATAAATTATTTTGATAGTTAGACATTTTTGCAAAAATGGATTGAAAATAATATTGTTTAATACAGAAGTGAACTGTTATAAGTATACTTAGTAAATGTTGTCTTCAATTCATGATTGTTGATAATATTTTAAATTTATATACATATACCTATGTAAACCTAAAATTTTAGTTAAAAAATGTTTAAACCAATAAAATTTTAAATATTTTTTAATTAAACTTTTTTCATAAACCTTTTTATCTCCGTTATTTATGGCCTGATTTAAAAAAATTAGGTTTTTAAAATTGTTTAATTTTTTTTAATTTTCTTCTTAAACATGTTTAACAAAAATATCAACCAACAAAGATCAAGAGGTTTATGCAAAAACAAAAAAATTTCGATAATTCAAAAGCAAAAGCTCAAATTAATAATATTTACTTAATCTAGATCTAGAACCTCTATTACATTTTCCACTGAGTAAAAACAACATTTAAGTATACATATTAAAAAATAAATTCTAAATAAGTTTAAAAATGTATAAAACTAAAACCAAACAAATTCTCGCAAAATAAGTAAAAAACGCCCAGTCGGTTTTATCAGATTTCCTTTCCAGAAGGATGGATAATTTCCATTTCCCCTTTGGCGTTAAACCTCTTCCCATTTGTAACTCATCCCTCGGGGAACGCTGTAAAACAGTTAATGATGCTCGGATACCCAGCAAAAGTGGGCCGTATTCTCTCAATAGAGACGGTAAATTGGAAAACGCGCGCAGCTACACTACGAGAGACAAACAAAAAGTTTCCGCAGAAAAGTATGTTTAAAAAATACGAATTAAAAGAACATAATCACAGGCAGAATTCTTCTTAATCTTATCTCCTCTACTCGTCTGGCAACATGGCATCCAACTTAAATGGTTTCTTCACAAAAAAAACAAACATGTTAAAAATAAAATATAAATTTTTCGAAGGTCCCTCGTATTTTGCAGCTGAATTTAATCCAGTTTCACTGAAACCCTAAAAGCGTTTCAGTATAAAGGGAGACATGTTAAATAAAATATGTACCCAACCCTGTGGTTTTTTACGTTCCTAGTATCGACCGTGATTGCCTGTGAGTAGCAAATTATTTATTTAACTTATGCATTATCTGTTTTAATTTAAATTGCATTTATTTTTCAGATTCAGAGAAAAATCTCACATGCTATCAATGCATAAGGCACAAAGACGAACCATGCTATCCTCAGGATTTAAAACCATGCGCCTCAAAACATGACAGATGTGTTGTGCATATCACAAAAACTTGTAAGTCTAGCTTTTCAATCACCATCGCAGTAGAAATTGGGCAAAAAAATAAATTTTTATTTTTACCACCAAGAAAAATAAACCAACAAGTTAAAACCTGCATACGTGTTTTTTAATATATAAATTTTTTGTTCGCGAATATTTATAAATATAAAAACGGTCTGGGTGCAATTATTCAGTGTAACAAATAGCGCTTTTAATACTAATGTAACATATTTTAAGCAACAATTAATTTCCTACCTTCTTATTAGGTATTATTTTTCAAAATATTTTTTATTTAATTAAATTAACCTCTGATAGCACACTTTATTCTAAGAATGTTTTTAAAACCTTCCAGTGAGAATATTCTTAAGATCATGCTATATTTCTTCTAAAGAACATGCTTAAAAGACATTTAGCATGATCCTAAGAATATTCTTACAGGCCTATAGGCAGGTTCTTAGAAGGTGCAAAGTTTTAGTGGTAAAAATTAGTCTACTCTAAACATATGCTTAGAATGTTAAGAAAGTAATTGCTATAGAAAGTTCATTTAGGAATATTCCTGTTAAGCATATTTAGTTATATAATAGTAAAATATACCATAAACTACGTATAAAGGTATATACCTATACTTAAGTACCTAATTAATAAGTAAAAAACACAATCCAAAATATTTTTTTATAGTTATTTGTCAAATTAAAACAATATTTCATAACAAAAATACTTTTACTATAGGTATTTTATTTTATGTTCAAAATAAATATTTATTAATTTGTATACCGATTTTTTATTTCTGAATTAACATTTGTATGTATAATAATCTCAACTATCTTCAACTTCAATCTAATCTGACTTTTCCCACAAAATTTTTCAATTTTACTTTTTATGAAATAATGTCATACAACTTATGGTTTAGAGGTCAAATTGTTTATTTAATATTTTTAAATAAATATATATTAATATGTCGCACATTTTTTAAGGGGACGACAAATCCATTTCACTGTCATATTATGACAGTGAGGCGTATTTGTCGTCTCCTGAAGAATTTTACGAATGTAGAATACAACATATTAGAACGTGGGTATCTGACATATTTGGAAATATTCTCAAAAGCTTCCTAGAAGCTTCATAAGAAACCTTCTAAGAACATTCCAAAAACGTATTCTTAAAATGTTCTTAGAATTCTTTTTAGGAAGGTTTTAAGAAGCTTCTAAGAATCTAATTGCATCATTAAAAGGGTATCTATTGAATATTTTGAAAGTCCCTAAGAACATTCTTAGCAATAAGGGAACGTTCTAAGAATATTCCATTATTCCGGGTCATATCTTCTTAGAAGATTCTTAAAATCAAATTTTGCTATCAGGGACTTAACTTCCGCTAGACAGAATTTTACATTTTTTTAATGTGTAAGGTAACAATTATAACAATGCATTTATCCTAGACTAGGTCAAAAAAATAGACTATTTTTTTTGTAAAGTATATCGAAAGTATTGTTTGGGATGACAAAAAAAATATTGTGAGTTTGAGTCCATAATATTAATATTAGGAGGTCTATTATCGCAATTTTAGATTTTTTTCTTGAGCAAGTTTTTCTTTCAGTTCTCCCAAACCATTAAGTTTAACAACATTGACTTGAAAATATTTTTTGTAGAAAATTAAACGCTCTACAAAAAAGGTCTGATTGAAATTTCCCGTCAGATGAACCGTTTCCTTACAATCATACCTCCAAATTGGTATAGTTTTACAATTTGATCTTTATGATTTTTTTTTGTAGTTAAAAATGGATTTTCCATAAAAAGGGAATGCGGTTTGGGACCATGTTCTTTCGACGACGACATGGTCAACAAAGGTTTGGGAATGGGAATCTGCGATAAAAGTAAAAATGAATATTTCTGTTTGTCCTGTTGCAAAGAAGATGGTTGTAATGAAAGTGCTTCAAAAAAATCATACCAAACATTTATTTATTTATTAATTGTGACGTTCATTAAAAATATATTCTAAATACCTAGGTCGTTTTATTTAAACATTTCAACATTTAACATAAACCTTATATAGAATAATATATTTACAATGCATCTAAAGCATCTCTTAAAGCCTGTAGTAGGAACTTTATTTTTAGCCATACTTATATTTAAATATAGACAAACTCATATTTATAGTGGCTTGCGTAAGTCGGTCAGAAACTGTTTGACTGTTTTTATTTGCGTGGTGGAGTTATGAACCCGGGGTGTTGGAAAGTCGATGAAAACGATGAAGGTACGCAAATTTAACCATACATTATTTTGCGAAAAAAAAACAAAAACTTTCATCTGACTTTTACTGTTACAATGTTTTTATTGCGGTGTTTTTGTAGCCGCAAGATGGGCCAAAACCGATAGACACCATTCATTTTCGGATGAATTGTGGACAAAGATGTATAGCACTAAGTCCACGGATAGCAAAGGTACCAAACATCATTTTTGTTTGATCATTCACTAATTTATTACAAGACACATGAAAGTTTCATTTTGCACAAGCTTAATCTATCATTTGATCACTGCGTCGTCTTTACTGTTGAAAATAGTTTTCCAAAACAAATATGGGTGAATCTCACGAAATGTCCCCCGATGGTGTTACCCCGTGATATTTAATAAAACTAAATGAGTTTGACCTACACTTTTATTGTGTTTTGATCTTTCATAATTAAGTAGATATTACAGGTCAGGTTCCAGATTTTTAACCGCAATTAATTATTTTTTACAATGTTTTAAAAGTCTAAAACCTATCCTCCGTGACTGTTATTTAAAGCAATCGAATCAAATATAAAATATTATAAAAAATTTAAAGAAATAATTTTATAACCATTTATGTAGGTGTTACAAAAATTGATTCTATCTTCCGTGAATCTGTTTTTGCTTTAAATTTTATGCAACGGATGGCGCTTTAATCACCAAAAATAAAAAATCATTTTCATTTGGGAGACATATCTCAATATATTCACCCATATATAGGTGCCTGATATTTAACCTAATAACTTTCTCATTTTCTAGCGGTTTACATAGATATAGAAGAAGAAAAAGACGCAGGTAACCATGAGTATTCACAGTGGTCGGAACTACCAGATTTGGTATTGGAAAAGATATTGTCGTACTTGCACATACGAGAAAAATATTACTGCAGTTTGGTGTGTAAGTCTTGGTATTCAGCCTTTCATCTACCAAAGGTTTGGAGTCGATTTGTTTTAGAGGACACTACCTTAACTAGAGCCAGATTCAATTATTACTCTGGCTGGCAGGTATACCGGTAATAGTAAAAATACGTTATGTATATTTTAATGTATTTTTGAGCGGGTAAAGAGTATATTTATTTCAGTACGTTCTGGACCATCTGAGGGCCCAAATGTGCCTGTCCACCGTCGGCAAAAAAATCCGCTACCTGACCATAATGCCCATGCTGAATTTCTACAACTTATACGAGTTCATGAACATGATTTCCTGGTACACAGAGCAAGATCAGGAAAAAGAAAACGTTCAAATCGGTGTTGGTAGCAACATAGAATCGCTAAAATTCACATTTCCCTGCAACATGACCACTCGTGACGACACCGAACGTATCAGACTGTTCGGAACTGGCGGGAAGCTTTTGGAAGCCTTAAAAAGGCTCATGGGCAACCTAACAAAACTAAAAACACTGCAGCTCATTGATTTGATGTTAGATCCCAAAGAAGCCCAATATCTACTAGATGGCGTTGTAAATACGTGCTTGGTCACCCTTAAAACTCTGTATGTAGTCAACACGACAAGGGTCAACTACCCTTTATTACATGTAGGAGTATTTCTTAATTTAAATGTGAGTTATTATTTTTAAATTGACAAACCTTGCTTTTTTTGATAAATAATAATAATAATAAAAAAAATGTTATTTAAATATCAACTAATTTTTTTGTAAAGTATAACGAAAATATTGTTTTGAGGTGACAAAAAAAATGATTGTGAAAGTAATATTAAGAGGTCTATCATCGCAATTAAATTTTTTTTTCCTGAGCGAGTTTTTGTCTCAGAACTCAAAAATTGGTATAGTTGTACAATTTGATCTTTTATCTTTGGAATTTTGTAATTCATGTAAAAATCAGTAACCGGAAAAAACCGATAAATATTCTTATGGGAAATCAAATGCTCTACACAAAAAGTCTCTTAACATTTTTGGCTTAATTCACTCAATCAAAAGTTATTTCAGGTAAAAGTTGAAGTAAAAACGAAATTCTTGTTTTTCAGGTTTTTAGTCACGGGCTGAAGTTAGTTTTAATTTAGTTGACAGTTGTCAAATGTCATACAATCGTTAAAATAAAGTGCCTTTCTTGTAAAATAATACTAAATGTGAAAATTATTTTATTATCTCAATACAAAAATACAAAAGTATTAAATAGTTTCTCAACGCCAATATTTGAATAGTTTATATGAACATTGTACTGACCTTTTAATATCGCCGGCAGTAAACTATAACTTAAATTCGGGCACAGACTCCACTGTAAAGTGCTCAAAAACATTTTCTTTACTTTCACTATGAAAAACTGTCAATTTTCAAGAAATACATTTCGATTCATAACCTTTATAATTGCGTTTATAAAATTTGACATTTGACGGTGACACACAGATTCCCCTATTGTTTCATAATTTTTAGTAATTTTATAAATAATATAAAGATTATCATCGATAAAAGAATTCAAGTTTTTAACTGACCCAAAAAAAATCTACAGCGGAAAAAACAAGAATTTCGTTGTCTTCAACTTTAACCTTGAATAACTTTTGATGGAGTAAATTTAGCCAAAAATGTTAAGAGACTTTTTTTGTAGAGCATTTAATTTTCCATAATAATATCTATTTTTTTTACGGATACTGATATACCAATTTTTAAGGCATGATTGTAAGAAAACTGTTCATCTGACGGGAAATTGCAATCAGACTTTTTTTGTAGAGCATTCAATGTTCTTCAAAAAATATTTTTAAGTCAATTTTGTTAAACTCAATGGTTTGGGAGTTCTGAGACAAAAACTCGCTCCTGACCCGAACAATATTTTAGAAATACTTTACAAAAAAAATAGTCGATTTTTTTGGCCCAGTCTAATGAGCACTAACGACTGCATTTTAGAAGCTAGTGATAAGTCCGCAAAACCTGGGAGACGACGTTGTAGAACTGTTCGGCAATACCAACTTAAAACACCTACATATAGTTCAAAATAGGTACACGCCAGACGATGAGAATATATACCCGGTGTCCCCAAAAGTGTGGAGGCAGTGTAGGAAGAGCAACCAGAATTTGTGCGTGCACTTAGAATTGGAGTGCGTGAAACCCAAACCGTTGATATGGCAGGAGAATGCTCCTGTTAAAAGTATTTTGTATAATTCCACTCATATTCAGGTGGGTAATTTTGTAATCATAAAATGTTTGTGTTTGTTATTATTTTATTTTTTAGTTAAAAAATGATGAGTTGATAACGGCAATAGATTTCTATAAAAACGATTTAAAAGTGTACGGGCATAAATGTATAGCCCGATTTCACAGATCAAAATCCTTTCATGAACGTGTCGACGGGAGTTTGCTTCTTTTAATAAGGGAATGCACCTATTTAACAACCCTGGTAAATGTTTTATTTAGTTAATAACAAAATGTACCTACTCCTTTTACCTATGGGTGAATATTTTAAAACTGTCGATTTTCGGAACCATTTTCGTGAACACAAAAAAGTTGCAAATCAAATTAATTTTGCACTTTTAGGACTTTTTCACTCATGAACATAGATATTTGTCTTTTTTAGAAAGTTGAACCCACGGTTTTACTTGGTCATCTCTCTATTCTTCTGCGTCTCTCACGTTCTGCTTGTCTTTTAGCTTCGTTGGTCAACTAGTTTCGTGGTTTTGTCATTTTAATTAATTTCCCACTGAAATTAAATATTTTAAATTGGTTACATGTAAGGGACACGACAATGACGAGCACGGTAATGATGATTTTAAGGTTAGAGTGTTTCACAATGTTTATTCGAAAATGTAATGGAATTTTCAAATTACCATTTGCTTTTTGTTAAGGCAAGACTCCTTTGTATTAATGTAAATATTTTGTATGTCCATAAACTGAAATAATACTTACCCCGACAATGACGGACTTAGACGTAACAAGCCGTTTTCGTTTTCATTCGGCGCACGTCACAACTTTATGGTTTGACATATGCTAGTGGACGTTAGACAGGCAGGATATTTCCACATCAGACGTTCGAAAACTTCCGGCATTTTCCGAATGTATCGAGCATTTAAATATGAAATTAGACCCATTTTAAGTAGCCACGGCAATGACGCTCATGGGTGTGAACAAAGTTTAAACGGCATTAAAAAAGTTAACATTTTAAAATGAAATTTCTTGCTTGCATTGTATTATTTTGTATTTTCTTCGTCTGTGTTAGACAGGATATTGCAAGATTTAATTTGTAAATAAATGTAAGAAAATAATATGTTGTTGGTCTTCGAGTGTGAACAAGGCACGGTAATGACGTTTGCGACACAAAAATTAAAGTATATTTTTACTATGCTCATTTAGACTAAAATTAGTAAGGAATGAAGTAAAAATAGTTAATTAAACTAGACATGAATTATCTTATTTTCATTGGGATATTAACTTTTGAAATAACAAGCCAGAACCGATTGAGTTACACTTTTGAAATATTCACCCATATGTTGTAACCTTATAAGTAGGGATGGGATTTTAGTTATTTTACCTTTTTTTAACCGATGTAACTATTTGAAAACCAATAATGCCAAAATGTGTTTTAAAAGATTTTCTTTTATATGAACCTAACTTGTTTTCACCTTTTTTTACCTTTTTTGGAGGTTTTTGCTTTTAACTACCTTTTTTATACTTTTGTTACCTATTTTTTAAACTTTTTTTCACCTTTTTTACCTTTTTTGGAGGTTTTTGCTTTAAACTACCTTTTTATACTTTTGTTACATATTTTTTAATTTGTCAGTTTTTTTCACATATTTGTTACCTATTTTTACGTATTTTTACTTATTTTATTTTTTTTGTTCTTTTTAAAATTTGTGCCAATATTTTATCCAGGGCGTGCAACTCAACGGTATAGAATTTTTTCTTATGGTTACAGACTGTAACAGTAACTTTCTTTACAGTTACCTTCTTTGTAGTGACTCACTACTAGTGAGCTTATGTTCTGTCATAGAACTTGTGTAGTGAGTGTCACTCAGTAAAACAGTTTATTGCATGGAAATAGTTTATTGTGGGTATGTTCTGTGTTTGGGTATTAATTATAAACGAAACTTAAACTTTTAATGTTTTTTTTTTACCTAAAATGCTGTTTTTTTTAACCCAAAATGCTTTTTTTTAGTACCTTTTTAGTTACCTATTTTTCAGTTTTTAGTACCTAAATATCCCCCTACTTATAAGTCATAACTTTTAGGTAGTTACTGAAAGAATTTCGACAGCAACAGTTTTGCTCCTAGCTTACACAGGTAAAAATTTAAAATGGCTGCACATCCGCAAAAATGCCGTCATAATAAAAACTGATTGGCCGAAAAGTCCCGACTGGACAGAAGAATTTTATTCCTGGTTAAAAACCAACAGCCGCTCATACGAATTGGTTGAAGCAGAAATTTCGCAAATATTAGGATACAAATGGAAGTTACTGTCCGACAAGGATTTCATGAAGTTAAAATGTAACTTACACGACCCCTGAACAAATAAATATATTATATATTCGATTAATGTTTTATTTAAAATATAATTTAAAACCTCAGTCATTTACAATAATAATAATAATAATAATTAAAATACCTGTTCAATCGTGTTTGGGCACGTTAATGAACATTTGGGCGTACATGGGGCCCAAAGTTTTGATGTTTCGCTGCATTATAATTCTCAGGGCGTTCGTGTAGGTTTCGGGGGGGCGCACTATCGTCGGGTCCCGCCAATAGGTGCCGTTGGTGTCGCAGACGAACAGAGCCGGGGATGGAATGTGGTCCCTCATGTAGCTCCAGACGCATTCTTTTAATATTGCGACGATCTGGAGAAAATTAACACCCCGTATAAAAATAATGTCAAGTTTAGGTCAGATTTTAGAAATTTTCGACAGTTATAGTACATTTGATGCACTTTTAATACGTTTCCAGATTATACACGACGAGTTTAACCACTTCACTTTCGTTCATTGCTACTGAAATACGCTAAACAAGCAAAGAACTGCACATCTTTTTTAAATAAATAAGTAGGTTTTCATAGAAGAGAGGAAGGCAGAAGTCTTGCTCGACAAATTTGGTTCGCAAAGTTTCAATTGCACAGCTAAATCTCGCACGTTATTTGTGTTTCGCGTTGCAAGAAAAAACTGAAAAACTTAGTATGGTATGATAGCAAAATTTAATTTTAAGAATCTTCTAAGAAGATATGACCAGGAATAATGGAATATTCTTAGAATCTTTCCTTATTGCTAAGAATATTCTTAGGGACTTTTAAAACATTCAATAGATACCCTTTTAATGATGCAATTAGATTCTTAAAAGCCTCTTAAAACCTTCCTAAAAAGCATCCTAAGAACATTTTAAGAATACGTTTTTGGAATGTTCTTAGAAGGTTTCTTATGGAGCTTCTAGGAAGCTTTTGAGAATATTTCCTAATATGTCAGATACCCACGTTCTAATATGTTGTATTCTACATTCGTAAAATTCTTCAGGAGACGACAAATACACCTCACTGTCATAATATGACAAAGAAATGTTTTTTTCGTCCCCTTAAAAAATTTTGCGACATATTAATATATACCTATTTATTTAAAAATATTAAATAAACAATTTTACCTCTAAGTTGTATGACATTATTTCATATATAAAAAGTAAAATTGAAAAATGTTGTGGGATAAGTCAGATTAGATTGAAGTTGAAGATATGATTATTATACATAAAAATGTTAATTCAGAAATAAAAAATCGGTATACAAATTAATAAATATTTATTTTTAACATAAAATAAAATACCTATAGTAAAAGTATTTTGGTTATCGAATATTGTTTTAATTTGACAAATAACTATAAAAAAAATATTTTGGATTGTGTTTTTTACTTAGTATTTAATACTAATTACTAATTAGGTACTAAAGTATAGGTTTAGTATACCTTTATACGTAGTTTTTGGTATATTTTACTATAATATAGGTAACTGAACTAAATATGCTTAACAGGAATATTCCTAAATTAACTTTCTATAGCAATTACTTTTTTAACATTCTAAGCATTTGTTTAGGGTAGACCAATTTTTACCACTAAAACTTTGCACCTTCTAAGAACCTGCCTATAGGCCAGTAAGAATATTCTTAGGATCATGCTATATTTCTTTTAAGCATGTTCTTTAGAAGAAATATAGCATGATCCTAAGAATATTCTCACTGCAAGGTTTAAAAAACATTCTTAGAATTAGGGACGCTACGTCACGAACGCGTCACGAAAGTCGAATGGGTAAACTCGTCAGGTATGATCTGGATACACTGTTTCTAGGAGAATTTGGGATATTTTAAAAAGTTTTATAAGAGAGTTTTACTAGAATAAGATGGTTTCAGGAGTTTCTAAACGCTTTCAGAGCATTTTTAGACCGTTTTATGAAATTTTGAACAGTTCCAAAGCAATTTTAGGAGCAACATAGATCAATAACATAAGTATCAATAAAGTTTTTTCTTTCCACCCTCCAGCGTCACGAGATTTATGGACTACCCCTTAGTGGCTCTTGATAAGTAAGAGAGATAGAAATAAATCAAATAAAATCAAAACTTCTTACCTCGAAACACTTTAAAAACTGCAAAACATCCCCGATATTCGATAGCGGCGGAGGCAGCAACTGCCCCAAAGCCATCAACTCGATTAGTTTGACAGTCGTCTCCATCAAATTCCTGTAGTTGTCGGTGTTGTTCGCCTTGCTCTGCTCTCCCATGCTTTTCCATTGGTGAATCAAGGTGGCCGTCAAGGCTCTAATCAAAACGGAACAGTAACACAAAGCCGGCCTTGATACCGCCACAAAACCGAGCAAATTCCACAGCAAGGGAGCGTTTGTGAACATTTTCCTGATGAAAAGGTCGCGCTCGATGGTCACCTAAATTTAATTTTTTTTACACGTTCGAAAATATCATGATATTTATATATATATACATCAAAATATCGGATATATATATATGGGTGATTCTACAAAAGTTGGGCAACTTTTGACCTCATTTTGTTTATATAGTTTTCGGAGAAAATTAAACAGTATTTTGTTATGAGAACATAGATAATATAATAAACATACTGTTCCAGACCGGGCCAGTCACTTTTTCAAACAGTTTCTGAAATATCTGTGTTTTCTAAATTTGAATGCAAGGGAAGTGACGAGTATACCAGGGTACTAATTAAATACATAATTTATTGGAAAATATAAGATTTATTGCAACTTTGAGCATATTATACATTAAATATCTTAAAATCAAATAATACCACACATCAGTGGCGATTATTAGATATGGGACCCACACCAAATTTATATGATTTATAATAACATTAAATAAACACCCTGGTAGAAAATAACGTTTGCATACATTCAGACAACGTTGCAAATTTGTATAATAATTTGTTATACTCATAACGTTGTCTTAGTGTATCATTTTAAGTGGAAAATACGTAGTTAAAACGTTGTCTTGGAAACGTTATTTTAATGTATGATTTTAAGTGGGAAATACGTAGTTAAAACGTTGTCTTGGAAACGTTGCAGAATTGTATTGCTGGAAACGTTGCAGCAACGTTCCAAATCCCACGTTTAGATACATAAAATTATTTCTAAGTCCCGACGAAAATTTTTCAATGAGGATTTTTTTTTTTAATTTTTATACTTTATTATACATTATTTATAAAAGTAAAATAAAACTCTTCAATTCATTTTCAAAGTCATAATATCAAAAATATGAGCGAAATACACAAAACCCACTTTCAAACAACGTTGCAGAATTGTATTGCTGGAAACGTTGCAACAACGTTCCAAAACCCACGTTTGGCTACATAAAATTTTTTCAAAGTCCCGACGAAAATTTTTTTTCTGAGGATTTTTTTTCAATTTTTTTTTATTATACATTACTTATAAAAGTAAAATAAAACCCTTCAACACATTTTCAAAGTCATAATATCAAAAATATGAGCGAAATACACAAAACCCACTTTCAAACAACGTTGCAGAATTGTATTGCTGGAAACGTTTCAACAACGTTCCAAAACCCACGTTTGCCTACATAAAATTTTTTCAAAGTCCCGACGAAAATTTTTTTACTGAGGATTTTTTTTTCAATTTTTTTTTATTATACATTACTTATAAAAGTAAAATAAAACCCTTCAACACATTTTTAAAGTCATATTATCAAAAATATGACCGAAATACACAAAACCCACTTTGAAACAACGTTGCAGAATTGTATTGCTGGAAACGTTGCAACAACGTTCCAAAACCCACGTTTGGCTACATAAAATTTTTTCAAAGTCCCGACGAAAATTTTTTTACTGAGGATTTTTTTTCAATTTTTTTTTTATTATACATTACTTATAAAAGTAAAATAAAACCCTTCAACACATTTTCAAAGTCATAATATCAAAAATATGAGCGAAATACACAAAACCCACTTTCAAACAACGTTGCAGAATTGTATTGCTGGAAACGTTGCAACAACGTTCCAAAACCCACGTTTGGCTACATAAAATTTTTTCAAAGTCCCGACGAAAATTTTTTTACTGAGGATTTTTTTTCAATTTTTTTTTATTATACATTACTTATAAAAGTAAAATAAATCCCTTCAACACATTTTCAAAGTCATAATATCAAAAATATGAGCGAAATACACAAAACCCACTTTCAAACAACGTTGCAGAATTGTATTGCTGGAAACGTTGCAACAACGTTCCAAAACCCACGTTTGCCTACATAAAATTTTTTCAAAGTCCCGACGAAAATTTTTTTACTGAGGATTTTTTTTTCAATTTTTTTTTATTATACATTACTTATAAAAGTAAAATAAAACCCTTCAACACATTTTTAAAGTCATATTATCAAAAATATGACCGAAATACACAAAACCCACTTTGAAACAACGTTGCAGAATTGTATTGCTGGAAACGTTGCAACAACGTTCCAAAACCCACGTTTGGCTACATAAAATTTTTTCAAAGTCCCGACGAAAATTTTTTTACTGAGGATTTTTTTTCAATTTTTTTTTATTATACATTACTTATAAAAGTAAAATAAAACCCTTCAACACATTTTCAAAGTCATAATATCAAAAATATGAGCGAAATACACAAAACCCACTTTCAAACAACGTTGCAGAATTGTATTGCTGGAAACGTTGCAATAACGTTCCAAAACCCACGTTTGGCTACATAAAATTTTTTCAAAGTGCCGACGAAAATTTTTTTACTGAGGATTTTTTTTCAATTTTTTTTTATTATACATTTCTTATAAAAGTAAAATAAATCCCTTCAAAACATTTTCAAAGTCATAATATCAAAAATATGAGCGAAATACACAAAACCCACTTTCAAACAACGTTGCAGAATTGTATGCTAGAAACGTTGCAACAACGTTCCAAAACACACATTTAGCAGCATAAAATTATTGTAAGTCCCGTCGACAAATTTTTTAATGTGGATTTTTTTTAAATTTTTATCCTTTGTAACATTAATAATAAAAGTAAAATCAAACTATGCAATACAATTTTTAAAGTCATAGTTTCAAAAATAAGGCCGAAATACACAAAACCCACTTTCAAACTACGTTGTAAAATTGTATTCTAGAAACGTTGCAGCAACGTTCCAAAACACACATTAAATTTAGCAACATAAAATTATTTTAAGTCCCGCCGGCAAATTTTTTAATGTGGATTTTTTTTATTTTTTATAATAAATTATTTATAAAAGTAAAATCAAACTCTGCAATACATTTTTTAAAGATATAATATCAAAAATACGATCGAAATACACAAAACCCACTTTCAAACTACGTTGTAAAATTGTATGCTAGAAACGTTGCAGCAACGTTCCAAAACACACATTTAGCAACATAAAATTATTTTAAGTCCCGTCGAGAAAATTTTTAATGTGGATTTTTTTAAAATTTTTAGTCTTTGTAACATTAGTTATAAAATCAAATTTAACTATGCAATACAATTTTTAAAGTCATAGTTTTAAAAATAAGGCCGAAATACACAAAACCTACTTTTAGATACCTAAAATTATTATAGTTTCAATAAAGGTTTACTATCGTAGTTAGGTGATGGAACAACAGAGGTTACACCATAGTATTATCACAAAATTCTGTGGTATTATTTCTATGGGTTACACGGAACAAACGAAGAAAAATTCAAATTTACCGCTCTATCACGAAGTGTTTATTTCTTTATTTTAGGTTAAGTGTTGACATCGTGCGAAATTTTGTGCAAATTCTTCCGTGTTTTTTGGAAAAATAATTAAAAGATAAGGTAATTTTTATCTGATAGGGATGGCAAATAACTTTTAGTAACCTAAACAATCACCACAAACAATTTGTTAGTGTTTTTTTTAAACAGTTGCTTTTTGCATGGATTTTTAGGGTTATTTGGACGATGCCTTATGTAAAATAAGTTTTGTTCTGTGACGATGCCTTAAAAGCATAAACATGTTCCTGGAACAGTGTATCAAAGAAATTATCACCCAGAAAATATTGAATTGGCCGTGGCAGAGGTGATAAACAATCGTCTATCCTTTGGGTAGATTGCAAGTGTAATGATTACATCTGCCACAGATGATCTGCGGATAATGGATAATCTTTTGCAAGACAAGATACAAAAGAGTGCAGTCATATCTAAACCACAAAGCAGTGATAATTAGTTGTTTTAAAGAAAACCTTCCTGGCAATGACTGGCTAAATTCTTTCCGGAGGCAAAAATTGTGATTACTCAAAGGAATGCTAAAAATCTAAAAAGATCCAGATCAGAAGTTTATGATGATGTGATAAACCAATATTTTTTCAGAAGTAAAGGAAATAAGGGATGCTTTGCCAGCACCTGGTTACCCAGGGAAACAACAAAATGTTGTGAAAAAAGGAAACTCAGAATATTAAACTATTTTTCAACTTTTCTAATGTTTGCTGACACTGGAGGAGATCATTTACCATTGTGTGTTGGTTACCAGCCAAATCTATTAGATTTTTTTTAACAATCAAAGGTTCTTAATAATTTTTATATTAATAAATTATATCCATATGTAAATCAATTTTAGGTCACAATCTTTTGCATTTAATAAATAAATTTGTATACTATACAAAATCAATTTTAAAACTTTCAAGTGTATAAAAAAATATAGGCAAAAATACTATTTTTGCTTGTATTTTTTCCTTTTAATGCTTGTGCTCTAAATTTTTATTCAAAAGCAAAAATCCTCACATTTTTTCTTATATATTCGTTATTGCTAAAATTTATTTTGCCAAGCATCAAAACCCTTAATGAAAATTAAAAATTTGTTACTTTAAACTCACCTTCATTGTTAATTGTTTTATTTAGACTTATATTTTAACTAGGTAACTACTTAAATTTCTTTGACTTTTTATTTTTGTTGCTAATTTATAATTTGTTTAATCCTTTATTTAGAAAATTTGTAATAATTGTTAATAGGCAATATTTCTTCTCTTTAAAATACCAGCATTGTTATTTTTTTTAGGCCATGTTTTAAGTTATGTTACTTATATTTGAATTTTTCTAGTTAATATTTAAATAGGATTTTTTAGATTTTTATTAATATTGATTTAAAAGTTGTAGTCAAAGATAATCTTTGGTTGTAGTATCTTGTATCTAGAAAATTGTTAATACCTATATGAATATAGGCAATAGTTTTTCTTTTCAAAATACCATTGAAAATTTTTTGTCTAAACTATTTTGTTATATTTTTATTTGTTTACTTTAAGTATATAATATTATATTAATATTTTTTAGATTTTGTTAATTGGGTATTTTTAATTAATTTTAATATTGATTTAAAAGTTGTAGTATCTTGTATAGAAAATTGTTATATATATAGGCAATATTTTTTCTTTTTAAAATACCATTGTAAATTTTTTGTTAAAACTATTTTGTTATAATTTAATTTGTTTACTTTAAGTATAATATTATTAGATAATATTTTTTAGATTTTGTTAATTGGGAACTTTTTTTCCAAAGTATTTTTTTTGTACAATAAATTTTTGTTGTTTTTAAATATATATTAAATTTTCCAATAATAAAGAAAAATCCTACCCAAATTTATAAAAAAATCCAACGTTTTATGATACAATAATCCCACGTATTTCCAACGTTTTATAATACACAAAACCCACATATTTCCCACGTTGTATAATACACAAATCCCACGTATTTGCAACGTTTTATAATACATAAAAGCAACGTTGTATAATACACAAAACCCACGTATTTGCAACGTTTCATAATACGTAAATCCCACGTTTTTTATAACATTAAAAACTAACGTTGTCAGATAACGTTATAAACCGGGACATTTCAACATAAAATTATACATAAAAGTTAGGTTTTGCCAACGTGGGAAAAACGTTGTTTCTACGTAAAATTTCTACTAGGGCAAGTTCTGCGCAAGCAGAATTTAAATTGAAGTTAGGGAAAAAGATAACCGACACGGTACTGATGAATGGGATACAAATTTGAGATTATAATTCGGAATTAAGTATTTTACTGATATTTTTTATCAGTGAATGCTACTTATCAACAAATCACATATAGCCTTATATAAATTACAATGAAATGTATGTACGTAAGAAAATAACTACTCACCACAGTACTGAAATTTTGACTGGCACTATACGTGCATTCACCACAACTTCGCCGCTTGCATTGTTTTTAAGATGACTGTCGTGCAAAGGGCGGGCTCTCTAGGTAATTTTTTACCAACACTTGAGTTAAAACATGGACTTGACGTTTAAACTTCAATATTTCGCAGGAATTTAGAATTTTAACATTGGACACAGAACTGACGGGTGAAAGTGAGTACAAAGATTATCAATTTTTAAAAAATTGCTATTATTCGAATCTATGATAAAATATGAAAAATACATTATTTATGTTTTATAGTTTGTAGTGAAATTGAAAAATTTAAGATAAATTAAATATATTTTAAAATAAAATCACTCAAATATTTGATTCAGGAGTTGTGACACGCCAAGGTACTGATGTTTTGAATATTTTTTATGTTTTTCTACAAACGTGCTTTTAAAAAAATACATTAAAATTGGGTGAACAAGTTAAAAAAATCTGGATCTTTTGTAATATACTAAAATATTTACAAAAAATATTAAAATACCTACTCTATTGACTGATGACATCAAGTTGTCCAACTTTTGTAGAATCACCCATATTATATATATGGGCCATATATATCGTTATATATCCGATATATATCAACATCTTGATATTTATTTTTTTATTTATTTCATTTAAGGTTTTGGTCAAAAATTGAAAAATTTAAGATAAATTGAATATATTTTAAAATAAAATTACTCAAATATTTGATTCAGGAGTTGTGACACGCCAAGGTACTGATGTTTTGAATATTTTTTATGTTTTTCTACAAACGTGCTTTTAAAAAAATACATTAAAATTGGGTGAACAAGTTAAAAAAATCTGGATCTTTTGTAATATACTAAAATATTTACAAAAAATATTAAAATACCTACTCTATTGACTGATGATATCAAGTTGTCCAACTTTTGTAGAATCACCCATATTATATATATGGGCCATATATATCGTTATATATCCGATATATATCAACATCTTGATATTTATTTTTTTATTTATTTCATTTAAGGTTTTGGTCAAAAATTAATTATATTAGCCATGGCTAATGCAAAATAAAAATATTTTTGATAAATTTATTTAAAAAAGTAAACAAAACATTTACAAAACAAAAATCATCAAAATTATTAATTCATTATCATATATAATTTCTTTGGCATTTTATCTTTATTACTTACCTATATCTTGAGATGTAAAAAACGGTTTTTTTTAGTAAAATGTATATTAATAATAAAGTGTAGAAATCTGCCGTGCTTAATGAAAACGCCGTAACCAACAATTTTGAGATTTTTGTTTTACGGCATTTTCTACTAGAACAATTCATCCTGCGTCTATCCCCTGTACTTAAAAAACCGTATCTATATTTCATATATATTTTTGAGTACCGGGGATAGACGCAGGATGAATTTTTCTAGTAGAAAATGCCGTAAAACAAAAATCTCAAAATTGTTGGTTACGGCGTTTTCATTAAGCACGGCAGAAAAGTAGAATATATTACATTTTTCATTATTGAAAATTTTGACGGAGACTAAAAAATCTGATTTCTTATTATTTGGTAGTACACATGAGAAACCAATAGAAATGTAAAACTTCTACACTAATACAAAAAATTAAAGGATAAAAAAAATTACAAATTTTTTGCGATTTTTCGGATAGCTGTATCTTCGTTAAAAATGGTCGTATTGGAGCCGTAAAAAAAGCAATTTGAAGCTTGAACTTTCTAGTTTTGAGATTTTTAGATGAAAAACGTGCAACGCTCAATCCTAACGAATACCGTAATAAAAAATTGTGTAAATTTTTTGTTTAATAAAATCTACAAATATTTATTAAAATCGTACAATGTGGAAATAAAGACTCTAAATTAAAGGCGCCATCTATTAAGAAAATTATATACTTTTTTAAAATGTTATAATAGATCACGTTTGAAAAAAAGCTGTAATTGTAACAGTTTTATAAATATCATTGATATATATAATTGCTTATATATATCGTGATAAATATCGGTCGAACCCTGAAACTAAACAATTCTCACCTTAGAAAACTCCTCATCTGGCCACGGAAGTCCATTATACATGACATCCGGACTTACAAATTGCACCAACAACAAAGACAATAAAGTCATACTATCCAATGAGAGATCGTTGAATTTATTTTCTTCGTTGGCCTGCGCAGAACAACACGCTTTAAGAACGTTTATTAATTGGTAAATATTGTGCGAAATATCATCCAACGGTAAGTTATCTTGAGAAATGGATTTTCTTTTTCCGTTTCCGATAATTCCTCCGTTAAACACTGAGGAGTGTTTTGTGAGCGGGATAATTTTGTTCTAAAAATAGTATTTGAAAAATTTGTAAAGCTGCGACATTTATTCTTACGATTTTTTTATTTTGTTTTAATAAAACCTTCTCGCAATCATGATGTAAACCGTTACTCTTGCCGCCAAAAAGATTATTATCGCTTCGAAATAACGCCCTCTCTAATAACTCCCTTAAAACAAAAACTTTCGCGACTTTGGAATAAGTGCAGAGCCTTTTGAGAATCCTGCACACTTTCGCGAAACCCTGAACCTTTAAGGAAGTACCTAAAAATTAAGTTTTATATACATTAGGGTGATTTATTTCCGCAAAGTTTTTGTTTTTTTTCGGTGCTCAAGGAAAATATTAATCTGCATATAGGAAAAAACATTCTCACCAAGTTTGAGCTCTTAATATTAATTTTAAGCACTTACTATTTAAATTTAAAGTTTTACCGTTTAAAATGCATGTAAAAAATATATATATTTTTTCAAATTTCTAATGCTTACCCACCTTTGACAATATTGCAAATCGGTTTAATACACCTTATGGGGAATTTCACGCTCTTTAAAATTGCTTTTAAGTTTTTTTTTGTAACTCGCATTGGTTCACCAGTAGGAGTCGTCAAAGGACAGTTTTTGAAAAAAATCGTTTTTTTTTTTATTTTTTCGAGCAAATCGCCAAAAGTAGTGAGAAAAAAGGGCTGATTCATAAAAAAAAGTTATCCAACCAATATTTAATGAATTTACTGCCATTTTTATAACTGAAAACGTAAGAAATTGATAAATACCAACCCATAATGTTATTTAGATTGATTTTTTCTATTTATTATCATTATATTTCCCTACACTAAGAACTTTTTTAAAATTATTATGATTTCTCACTCATAATGAATATGAAAACAACAAATAAATTCATAAAAAAACAACAAAACTTTAATCGGAATATACAGAAGGTTATGTAACATATTTCAAATTTCGCTTCAAAAAATTAAATAATCTTCATTTATATTTTTTTGCTATATGACAGAAATGTTAAAAAATTGCAAAATCCACGTAACAATTTTCTTATTGTTTTTTTATGAATTTATCTATTGTTATTATAAGTGAGAAATCAATAATTTTAAAAAACTTCTTAGTGTAGGGAAATATAATGATAATAAATAGAAAAAATCAATCTAAATAACATTATGAGATGGTAATTATCAATTTCTTACGTTTTCAGTTATAAAAATGGCTGTAAATTCATTAAATATTGGTTGGATAACTTTTTTTATGATTCAGCCCTTTTTTCTCCCTACTTTTTGCGGTTTATTAGAAAAAATTAAAAAAAAAAACGATTTTTTTTAAAAACTGTCCTTTGACGACTCCTACTGGTGAACCAATGCGAGTTACAAAAAAAACTCAAAAGCAATTTTAAAGAGCGTGAAATTCCCCATAAGGTGTATTAAACCGATTTGCAATATTAATATTGACAATTGTCAAAGGTGGGTAAGCATTAGAAATTTGAAAAAAATATATATATTTTTTACATGCATTTTAAACGGTAAAACTTTAAATTTAAATAGTAAGTACTTAAAATTTATATTAAGAGCTCAAACTTGTTGAGAATTTTTTTTTCTATATGCAGATTAATATTTTGCTTGAGCACCGAAGAAAACAAAAACTTTGCGGAAATGAATCACCCTCATATACATATGTGGAATAACTTGCGCAATCTTACCTTGCTCCTTTGCGCAGGCGTAGAAGTAATTAACAGTCGACTGAGATAGATTTAAAATGACTTGTAGAGGTGGGTTGTACGTCATTTTAGTCGTAGGGATTTCGATGGTGTCCAATATATCGGCAATAATATGCATATGCAGAATTTCGCTTGCGAATAAATTCGTTAAGTTGGTTAGATTGCTTTGTATGGCTCTGGAGACCAATTTCGAGCTTAATATTGGGTATTTATTTGTCTTTTCCCACCTTTAAATGATAAAAGAATAAGCAAACAAAATGTTTATTTTTTTATTTTTTTACCGTAATAAAGTAAGCAGATTTTCCCACATTTTAGTGAGGTCGGAATTCTCTTCGTTGCTAGTAGAGAACTTCTGTATATTTCGGCTTAAAATTTGTTCCAAAACCACGGAAAAATGTCCGCTTTTGTGGCAATTAATGTCTACCAATTCATGGCATAACATTTTCAATAATAAAGTGAGTTGTTCATTATTTGTGGCGTTCAATAAAAGGTGAGTTGCTGAGTTTATTAATACTGACGGATTTAAATTTGCTAAAAATAATAATTATTTTTTTATATACATAATATATTTTTTTAATAGAAAAATCTTACCTAAGAATATAAGAATTTGTGCTGATGTCTCATATATCAACTTATTTTCATTTAATAATAACACATTTAATTCTTTGGTTTCCTTTTTAAAAGATTTCAATAAATTGACAGGACTATTATGCCTAACTGATTCATCAATTTCCAAAAGAATGATTTCTAGAATAAAATAAAAATTAAACCAAATATTTCACAAAAAATAAACACATACCTAAAATATCTTTTGCTTTCTCTCTAATGGCATTTTTCATTGCATCATTGCCTCTAATTTTCGTGACAAGTACGCAATCTAAAAGGAGCGTCAAAATTTGAGCGCCTCCACTTTCACATCTTAATATTAGAGTTACAATAAATTCCTAAAATTATAAAATTATTTTTTTTATTCAACTCAGAAATGTTTAAACTTTACCTCCAAAGTTTCTGGATTTCCAAAATATCTACACCAATCGTCAATGAAAAAGTAGAGTCGTGTTATTGTATTAATAGTTACTAAAAAATTAATTATTAACGCTATTTTACTTGTTTTAAATGTATATAATTTTAATTATGTTTGTCATAATAGTACCTAATTAAATAAAATTATGTCAAGCATAAATTTAATGGAAAAATAGCGAATTATTATTATGTCTAGGCATAATAATACTAATTTTTATGATACATTTTAATTTGATACTCATTTTTTTTGTAACATTTAAATATTTTACCTGGCGAATATTTTTAAACAATTTGCGTATTATTTTGTTAGTTGAATTAATATTTGCGACATTTAAATTTGGTACATTTTTATTTCGTATGAGGTTCTTTATTTTTGTACTTTTAAATTTATATTGGAATTATTGTGAGACTAAAAACATTGTTGAACAATTTTTTTTAAGATTTTTAAACTATTTTATTTTATTCTATTAATTTTAAGTTTCAATTTCTTAATTATGGCACGACAATCATTTTTATTTTGCAATTAATTTTATGTGTACACATAATTTTTAATTCAAATAAAAAAAGATACAATTAATTTTATTTGTACACACAATATTAATGCAATGAATTTTTATGTTACAATTAAAATTATGACTTAATGAACATAATAAAAATTATATAATTAATTTTATCTGTACACATAAGATTATATAGGTAATTTTATGAATACACATAAAATTAATTCTAAATTTTTTATTATAGTCCGAATTTTAATTAATTTTGTATTATGGCACGCCGTTTTAATTGTATAAGAAATAATAAGTTAAATATTAATGTGTCACAAAAATATTGCACACAGAAAAATTACATTAAATAAATTTATAATTCAACAACTTATATAAACATATTACAAAAAATAATAACTCTCTTGACTAATTATTGTATTATTTTAAAGATATTATTTTCCAGTTTAAAATATTTTTTAAAGTATTAATATTTAACTTAATATTACTTATTTCCCAACATTTAGGATCTGTTCTCTATAATTTAAAATTTACAAAAAAATCGTAGTCTTATTATTTACAGATTATTAAAATGATTTTACCGTAAAAAATTTCCTCCGCATTTCGGTAAATCCCCGAAAAAAGCAATTTACTAATTTTTTTTTAATGTAACTTTATAATACTGCAAAAATATTTTTTCCAATGGTCCAGAAAAAATATATTTTCTTTTTTTTTCAAACCTTTAATAAAATAATAAAATGATTAAGGACTTACAAGTATGTTTTGTATCATCACAAATAGAGGACAATAATGTGGAAGACAAATATGCAAGTTGCAAAATAAAAGGTGTAGTAGCTTTTTTCTGTATTCTTGTAGCATCAGTATCATCCATAGTTTCTCTTAAACTTCTCTATAAAACAAATAAAACTTAACATAAAAAATATATACATATGTAAAGAAAAATACCACAAATATTTCCAAAATAGCTTTTCTGATGTCCTCTGTATGACTTCCAGCCAAATGTCCCAAAATACCGACAACAGATTTTAATTTTGCCGAGTTGCAACCCTGCTCATAGGATTTATTTTGGGAAAAATCTTTTAAGCCACAGGATAAAACCCTTGTTATCACTGTATTTGGGAAGCAACTGCCCACATGGGCCACCACCCAGTCAAAGTGAGGGGAATGTTTTACCGAAGTGTCTGAAATTATTTTATTTATCATTTATAAAATATTTTATTATGCAATTATTTACCTAACAAGGCGCTTATACATGCTTCAGTATCTGAATGTATTAAACTAGACAAACATTTTGTGTTAATGTCGACAAGAGTTCTAGTGGCTCTACAACCCATCCATAATTGCAAAGTTTCATTTAGCTCTAAAATAAATGTTTATCAAAAGACTAAAAATAGCATTTAAATTCTTACTTGAAGATATATGCGCCCTTCCAGCATATTTGGTTGAAATCTCTCCCAGCAATTCCAACGACCAAGTACTAATAATAGGAGCCCATGCTGTGGCATTTTCTAATATCAACTGAGCCAAAACCAAGTGAATTTCACTTATAACAACCTCATCGGTTTCACATTGTTGAGGTAGAGTACCTGTCTTAATTTCAGACTAAAAACGATATTTATAAACCTAACAAAACAAATTATTCAGAAGTAATGTTACCTCTATTCCCTTTATATAATTAGAAGCAGCATTATCAAAAACCTTGCAAAAATAATCAAAAACAGCTACTCTAGAAGCTGGCAGCAACTTTAATAACGTTAAGGCTGTCTTCGACAACTCCAATGGATTACATTTATCCAAGTTAGAGGCCCCTCTAATAAAAACCTGTATTTCGTTTATTAAATCTTGTTGCGGGGCACTCTTAATAATTCCAGTGTGAGAAATCATGTTTTAAACGCTATTTTGCAGTATTTTTCACTAAAAAGCCGTAGTTGACATAACGTGAGGTTATGTTTACAACTGTGACAGTTGAACTGTCATTTCATTGCAGTGTCGCCAACATGGCTTTTAAAATCTCGTAATTTGGTTAAATTACTAAACCTTATGCACAAATTATAAAAGTTATGTTCTGTGTAATAAACTAAAGAAACCAACAATACATATTTTGTTTGAATTAAATATTGTTACAAAAATAAAATGCAAAAACAAAGCAAAATCTTAAAATGAGTGTTTAAAAAATCCCCAGCACTAGGAAAAAAATCTGTTGGTAATGCTATAATATTGGTTCAAAATTTTGACAGTTGGGCGATACAGAATGACGTTTAGGTAGTACGATCTTTTAGTTTGTTTTTGTTGTGATAAATAACTCTGAATCCCGCGAAAATGTCCACGATCGCGGAAGACCTTCCGGTAAATAAAATCAATGATAATATTCGGGAAGATATGGTAAGTACATTTTAATGCCTAGTCATTTATGGATGTGCATATATGCATGTGTTTGGACTTTGTGTCCTCTTGAAACTAATAAACTATGCAACAAACATAATGTAGATCCCTCTAATGTTGCTATTTTGTATTGTCCATAAAATGTATGGTTAAAAACAAGATTTGGGGGAATAAATTAGTCATATGATAATTTTATATAAGTATAATTTATAGGTACAAACTGCGGTAAAATTTCTGGAAAACCCGAACGTAGTTAACACCCCACTAGCCCAAAAACAAAAATTCTTACAGAGGAAAGGTTTAAACGATCCTGAAATAAAATTGGCTTGTGAACGGTCAGGTGCATATGAAAGACATGAGCAAATGAAAATGCAAAATCCTCCATTACCTCCTATTAACAACAATATTATATCATATGGGTACAACCAAAGGCATTTGCAATACTCCTGGTTTGATAAAATAAGGGAGATTTTTCATAATGTCGCTGTTTTTAGTATAGTTGCTTATGTTATACACAAGTTTTATGAAGTAAGTAATATTTTTTTACTCAAGGTTGTAATACTTGAATTTGTACTTTTATTTTGTTGAATTTGAATAATTTATACACAAGGGTAAAAGTAGTTATCATATAATTTAATTTTTATTTAGTAATACCTGCTTTTAAAATGCCTTTCTTATGCAATAAATTGTAAAAATCAATGCAATATTTTACAAAATATAATTAATTTTTCTAAAACTTTTTTGAAATATGTAATGAAAACTGCCATTCCAAAAAAAAGTTTTATGGTCCAAGAATTAAAGTTTAACTGTACCATGTTTAGGGGTTTAAATGGTCAAAAAAAAACAGAAAAATTGGGGAAAAAACCTGTTTTTTTTTCAAGCCTTGGAATAATTATATATATATATAAATATATATGGGTGAATATATTGAGATGTCCCCCAAGTGAAAATGATTATTTTTTATGTTTGGTTGTTTCACTGTTAGTCTAGAACGGGGTTTTTGGGAAGCCACCAGGTATAGTAATAACATAACATAGGTGGTTCTGCAAGAATTTTAAGAAATCATACATTTTAAATATTAGAGCTTCACGGAGGTTAGGATTTCGTATGTTTTTTTAAACATCCCTTTGTATATTTGAAATAAGTTATTGTATCCTTTAACACCTTAATATTTTTTAAAAATACAATTGTACATACCTACATAAAATATTATTAAAAAAATCTACTTACCGAGATATTACACTTCACGGTGGATAGGTTTTTAAATAGCAAATTAATGAACTTAAACTTTTGAATTAAAAACCAGCAACACTCTCATCTGCATATAAATTCTAACTGACCTTTAGGAATTACATTCACGGAGGATAGAATCATTTTTTTAACACCTACTTAAATGGTTATAAAAATTATTTCTTTAAATTTTTTATAATATTTACTTAATATTTGATTTGATTGCTTTGGATGTGTTTAATTTACTTAGTGAACTGTTATTTTTAGTATGCTTCTACTACCTCAGATATCTGAAAAGATATAGGTTAACCTAGAAAGCGTAACAGTCACGGAGGATAGGTTTTAGACTTTTAAAATATTGTAAAAATTAATTAATTGCGGTTAAAAATCTGGAACCTGAGCTGTAATATCTACTGTCTTTGGGTCTTTTTTGCAAAAAGGAGTCCATTGAAAAATCCAATTACAAAATAATGATTTATAAAGTTAAATTACAAAATTATAATTTTATAAATTGAAGTGTCAAATAGAACGAAAATTATGTAGAATATTCTTACTGAATTAAAATAAAATGAATAATTATTATAATATGATTAGAATCAGCTTCGAAAATTAACTTTTTAGAAAAATTGACTTTTGCATTTTTTTTCGTATTACTTACCCTTTGAATAAAATGCAAGTGAATTTTCCAATTTTTCCGTTTTTTTTTTCGTAAATTTTAAAACCCTAGCCATGTTGTCACATCTAGATGTGTCTTACCTTTTAGAAATATATTGCGCCATTTTTGTTCGGTAAGAAGAAAAAAAGCATAGAAGATTCGATTAGAGACTTGGACAAAGACCTGAAAAAGTCGGTTAAAGAGTTGAGCGACAATTTGGAATCGGTAAAAATCGAGGTGGATAGAATCAACCAAAGCACCGGATCGAACACGAGCCGGCAACTGAGCGATTTGAAATCCGACGTTGCCACAGTTAAGGGCCTACTATTGGGCAGGTGAAAAATTGAGGGAAAGAATATTTTTCGAATTTTGATTTTTGCCTTTTAAGGAAGCAATTTCCTTCAGTGGCAGATAATCCTGTAGTTCCTTCTTCAATTCCTGCCTGGCAGATGTCAAGTGTACCTTCGGATGAACCCGAGCAAGATGTGGACCAGGAAGTGGGGTCTGGTTCCGGATCCTCGGAACCCGAACACTGTACAAAAACCACAAGCGAATCTAGTCTAGAAATAATGTAGGTAATTTTCTAAAAAGTAATCAAAAGGCTGTTTTTCACTACATTTGTTTTTCAAATATTGAAACTGGTTGATTGGTTAAACTTAGCCATGTTGTCATATCCTACAACTGCACTTTGCTGAGTTGTCAGGTCTACAGAGAAATTACGGTTTTTTCCAGAAATATGAAAATGTACTACACTGCGCGTCAAAATTAACGCATAACAATTTAAAAAATCCGACTTTACCAATCTTTATAAAATTTTGGATAAAAATACTTAGTTTACTTCTTCAAGGGTTTTTCGAGAAAATATTACTTGTTCAAGGGTTTTTCAAGAAAATATTTTTAAAGCCCTTTTATTTAGTAATAAAAAACGCTCAAAAAAAAACTTATGGGAAATTTTTTTAAGTAAATAAAAAATATGCTGTGAAAGACCGTATACCCTGAAAATTTTGTACAAATAAAATCAAAGGTAACGAAAATACAGCGCTTCAAAGTCGTAAAAAATGACCACTTTTCAAATAATCAAAAAGGGGTAAATTTTACCGACTTTGAAGCGCTGTATCTTCGTTAAGGTTCGTTTGATTTGTACAAAAATTTCAGGGTGTACTAACAAAAATACAGCATCTTTTTTATTCACATTAAAAAAAGTTATTTTTCGAACGTTTTTTTATTATTAATTAATAATATTAATTATTATTAATTAACAATATTAAATAAAAGGGCTTTAAAAATATTTTCTCGAAAAACCCTCGAACACGTAAACTGAGATATACCTAAGTTAAGTATTTTTATACAAAATTTCATCAAAATTGGTAAAGGCGTTTCAGAGAATGGCTAAATGAATTTTTTCGGGGATTTACCGAAATGCGCTGGTGAATTGAAATTTAAAACATTTTAATTATTAATATGAGGAAAACATTTATTAAAAAAAATATCCAGCACTTTTTAAAATAACCCGGTTATGTTTTGACATATAAATCCACTTCCACAAAATTTTCAGTTTTCTGGGAAAACCCGGTTCTCTGTAGTGAAAAAAACTTTAATTAATTTATTTTTGTAGATATACTCCATGGGATTTTGACTCGGAGTCCACCCACAGCCGAAAAAGTAAAGAAGAAAGTACAGAAAAAGAGTAGCTGTTTTGTTTGATAATTTTTATTTGTATATTTTTACGAGAAATATAATGTTTTAATAAACTAATTTTACCTGAAACGTCGTATAAATAAAAGACCATTTCTAATTAAAATTTATTCTAATCAAATAATTTACTTTTATTGTAAAATGTCATATTTAGGTACTTTTTGTTCATTTTACCAATATTTGGTAATCAATTTTTCACAACACAAAATCTAATGTTAGATCTTATATACAAATATATATCTTAAAATTGTCCTATGTAAAATCACCATATTTCAAAACACAAACCCTAAAAAATAAAAGACAAAACTAGAAAAACAGTTTCGCCCTTTATAATTATTTTGGTATTTTAAAAAGTGGTGACAAAACTCTATACAGTATGATTTACACATATAAAATAGTGGTTTGCAAAATTGAGAACTAATAATAAACAGTAGTAGGAAAATGACAATGAGCAGTAAAAGTGCACCCAAAAATTACAGGAACACTGAAATAAAACAAAATTCTTCACTCATTTAATGTTAACTCAAAAAAATAAGATTTTTAGATGCACTTATATTTTTTCAAGTGGTTTTTATCACATTATTCTACAATTAAAAAGTAAAAATCAAAATGATAGCACCTTATGATTTTTAATACTTCTTTTTAAACATATTTTGTAAGTCTACATTTGTACAAAATATTTACAACAAATAAATAAGAAGGAAGAGAATTTAAAACCACTTAAGACAACATTTTGGCAAGTAACTAAAAAATAAGGAAATATTGGTAATAAACTGATAATAATGGCAACTTGCACTCTCCAAAATGTTTGATACATTGTCTTTAGATTTAATTATACAAAAACCTACCACATATTCCTTAGACCAAAAAATTTGTTCAGAGGTATATGTTGTATATTAAGTACTTTTGTAACTTAATATATTCCACTGATGTTTTAAAAAAGAAAGTTATGTAACATTATTTTATTAATTAAAATTGACATTTTTAATTGTTTAAAGTTTAAACAAAAACTAATTATCAGTGGATGCCTGGTTCCTATATGTACACAATTATATTTAAACTACACATTTATTTCTGATGCAGAAAATACTCATTTTTTTTGTTATAAAATAATAAAATCTCTTGTTCAACATTCAATGTGCAACAATAAAAAATGGAATAAAACAAAAGTATAAATTTGGGAAAACAAAAACAAAAATCTATTATAGTAATGAGGAGAGTGGTTTCTTTGGTTTAAGATTTTCTTATTTTATATGGACACATGCCCTTAAAGTTACACTGTGTTTCCGTTGATAAAAAAGCACTAATAAAATAAATATAAATAAACAACATGAAACTAAACAAACAAAAGCAGTGTTGAGATGACTTTCTTTAAAAAATGACCCCATTTCATTTGATCCAAAACGGTATTTTACAAACGCGTCACAAATAAACAAAAAAATTGATATGAATGTCACAATTTTAACACGTTTACAATTTATTTATTTATTAATCTTAACTTCTTGATGCTGGTCTGAAGTAGGAAGAGTTTGATAGAACCTCCTAAAATAATTGAGCAAAAACCTTTATTTAAGAATGATAATTTAAATTTCTATAATACATGGTGTCTTGAAAATGGTGCTCTTTTTTCATTCAATATTTCATAAATTGTTTTTGACTATAGAATGTCTGATTACGCCCCATATCGCGTAGTAATTCGCCATTTTCTGGACACAATGTATAAAAACACACAATTAAAGAGGAAAAAAAATTGAAACTCAAAAAAATCTCCCACAAAAACATGAAAAATGAATTAATGAAAAATTAAATAAAATCGCAAATAATAATAAACATACAGTACGATACGAAAGGAAGTTCGGTTTTGTAGAAAAAAATGTTTATTTAAAAAAAAATTACAAATAATTTACACAACTAAATGAGTTAAGCACACATCTTTTTAATATAGGTAGGTAATAGTATTTTTGACTATACAAAAACGACATTTATATACAAATCTCTATAAAATCTAAACGATATTTTGCGTAATTTTTTGTTTACGTTCTAAAGTATTTATTAAAGCATATATATACAAAAGTGAAAATATTTTAAATTTAAATGTAAAAAAATTAAATTATGGTAAATTTTTGTAAATTATAAATCTAATAATATGCCTGAAACTAAAGATTTTTAAAAATATATATATTATTTTTTGTTGTGTCACATTTTAGTGCACCCTGTATACAAGTATCATTTTGAGCATCGTATCGTTATTATTTGAAAATTGCAAAAAAAATCAGCGTTTATCGAATAAAAAAAAAGAAAACCTGTCAAAAGCAAAAAAAAGTAAGTTTTCCATTTAAACATACAAATTTATCTACGGTTTTATCCAATTTTGGATTTTTTGCCTACTATAGATTTTAAAACAAAATATGTTGATGGTTTTTTAGTGATGGTAACTCAAAATATAGTATCAAAGAAATTTGATGAAAATATAAATTCTTTTCAAAAACCCCAGGAATAAGTTTTTTTAATTACTTGAAAACCACTGATTTTTTTTCAATTTTTAAATGCTATTTTAAAAGACTTACGCAACTTTTTTCTAATTTAGCCTACCTTGTCCATAAACAAAATACCCATAAATTACACATAGAAGGATACTTGGTGCACCCTGTATAGTGAGTTATTAATATTGCGAAAAAAATAGCATCAGATTTTTTGCATTAAAATATGACAAAAATTAATCAACTAGTTTCCGGAAAGGAGATATAGTTTGGCAATTTTATTTAATAAAAAAAATAAAAAACACCCAATTTTTCATAAAATCTAAAAAAAACATAAAGCTAACAATAATAAAATTGAATATAAAAGGTGACCCTGAAATGCCTTTACAAAATATTCCTGGGACAAAAATAATGCACTATAACTAAATTTACCTAAATTAGGTATAACAACCAAGATACAGGATGTCAAAGTTATAAAAGTTCCTTTTCGATTTTATTAAATTACTTTGGAAAACCAAACGTTTTTGCACAAAATTTGATACTCGGCGTTTTCAGGACAGGAAAATTAAATTTCTTATTTTTTTTTAAATGCTCAGGTTTATAATTAAAATTTAAAAAGGTGGACAGTAAATAAATTAATGTATTATTTTATTGTCACCAAAATTTTACATTTTAAAATCGCAATTAAATTGGTGCACTGAATAATTTATAGCAAACATCTCGCAGCGACATTTTATTTCACGTAATGATAGAATATTTTTATTAAAAACGTAAATAAACTAAGGCATAAAAAAGATGTAACCATTTAAACCTATGCGCCCTCTACAACCTACATTAATTTTTTTAAGACATTTTTCTTTCTGGTCAGAAAAACTTCCAAAAATCAAATTTTGTGTAAAAGCGTTTGTTTTTCGTTATTTTATAAAATCAAAAACGAATTTTCAACTTTAACACCCTGTATCTTGGTTATAATAAACTTTTGTATAGAAGTAAGTTTAGTTATATCATATAATTTTGGTCTCAGAAATATGTGTAATTTTTTTGTATAGGCATTTCAGGGACACCTTGTATAATTTAATTTTCGTGATATTATTGCACACTGTCCGTCAAAATTAACGCATAATAAGTAAAAAAATTCTAACTCTAAAACGTCTTTACCATTCTTTATAAAATTTTGGATAAAAATACTTTAACTTATATCTCAGTTTACGTGTTCAAGGGTTTTTCGAAAAAATATCCTTAAAGCCCTTTTATTTAATAATAAAAAAACGCTCCAAAAAAAACTTTTAAAGGGAATTTTTTTAAGTAAATAAAAAATATGCTGTGAAATGCCGTATTCTTGTAAGTATACATTTGTACAAAAATTTCAGGGTGTACTAACAAAAATACGGTCTTTAACAGCATCTTTTTTATTCACAATAAAAAAATTCCTAAAAGTTAATTTTCGAACGTTTTTTTATTATTAAATAAAAGGGCTTTAAAAATATTTTCTCGAAAAACTATCGAACACGTAAAGTGAGTTGAAGTATTTTTATACAAAATTTCATAAAAACTGGTTGGAGTTTTAGAGAATGGCTAAATTAATTTTTTCGGGGAAATACCGAAATGCGCTGAATTGAAATTTAAAACATTTTAATTATTAATATGAAGAAAACATTTATTAAAAAAAAAATATCCAGCACTTTTTAAAATAACCAGGTTATGTTTTGGCATATAAATCGCTTTTTCCCACTTCCACAAAATTTTCAGTTTTCTGGGAAAACCCGGTTCTTTGTAGTAAAAAAAACTTTAATTTATTTATTATTGTAGATATACTTTGACTTTGACTTTGAAGCGCTGTATCTTCGTTACTGTTCGTTTGATTTGTACAACATTTTCAGGGTGTACTAACAAAAATACGGTCTTTAACAGCATATTTCTTTTTACTTAAAAAAATCCCTAAAAGTTATTTTTCGAACGTTTTTTTATTATTAAATAAAAGGACTTTAAAAATATTTTCTCGAAAAACCCTTGAACACGTAAACTGAGATATAAGTTGAAGTATTCTTATAAAAAATTTCATAAAGATTGGTAAAGGCGTTTTAGAATTAACATTTTTTTTACTTCTTATGCGTTAATTTTGACGCGCGGTGTATTATTATATTAACTTGATTTTGTATTTTTTAATTTAAAAAAATGTTTTTTTATTTTAATTTAATTTCCGCAATATTATTGTATATTACCATATTTTCATATAAAAAACATAAATTTTAGACATTTTAAAAATATTTAATAAGCTTTAAAAATGACTAGGATTTAACTTGATTTTGTACTTTTTAAGTTATTTTAATAAATTAATCAAAATTCCCAAATTTAATTTTTTACATAATTAAGTTTAGGGGCATTCCACGTTACTCGGTAATTTTTGTCCCGCCCGTCACAATTAAAAATTGTGAGTAAAAACCACAAGTTATAAAATTAATATTTTATAATAATATTTTTATTGTGCTTATAACTTATTAAAAGCATAAAAAAACTATATTTTTAAATACATTTTATAACGTGTAGTTTTTACTCACAATTTTTAATTGTGACGGGCGGGACAAAAATCCCCGAGTAACGTGGACCCTTTATTTCCACAATCGCATCCTAGAGGATTTTAATAATGAATCATGTACTTTTAAGTCACGATGAGTGTTAGTCTAAAATTTGAAGCATTTAAAAAATCTAACATCGATCGTTTTAGATTAAAGTACTAGATGTAGACTGCGCCGCACCAACGACCGAAATTCAGAGCATGATCTCGTCGGCGCGCGCAGCCGGGGCGTCCGATCAGTTGCACATGCGCTGCGGTATGCGCGACTTGAACCTCCTGCCCGCCTCTTTGCGCGCAGGAGGCGAGGCGGAGGCGACGGCAACGTCGCAGACGCCGTTCAAGTCGGGCGCCGTCTCGGTGCGGTGCAGCGGCCGTCCGCCTGGTGGCGCTGCTGCCGCCGCCGCCGACGGCGGCGCGAAGGCGGAGACGGGGGCGCGGCTGCGAGGGGGGGAGAGAGAAAGACACGACTGAATAGAGATTGTCGTCGGGTTAGTACTCACCGGCAGCTACCAGAGCCTGTGCAGGTGGAGGTTGCGCGACAGCACGCTGCGCACGTCGGCGGTGAAGCGAAGCGCGTCCAGCACCGGAAGCAGGTTCAGCAGCGCGATGTCCGTCGGGTCCGAGAACCACGATTTTATCGGTATGGCGTTGTCTAAAATGTGCCATCATATAAAATCTTTATTATCTACGCCAGTGAGATAATAACTTCTTATCCCACTCATTTTGAGTGAGATAAGAAGTTCATTAACGCACGCGTTTTTCTCTGCTTTTAACCAATCAAATAAAAAAGTCAAAATGTCAAAATAACCCTAAATTAAGTCTTAGACAAAAATAATTACCGTTTATTTTTTCATTTAGAGGCGTAGATAAAAATTTGTACAATATACGTGTGATAACGCTTTATTAACGTACTTTTGCGATTGCCCAATGGCAAATTTCGCATGCGTACGTTAATAAAGCTCTTATCCCACTTATATCGTAAATAACTATTATAGTCGTCGCGGCGAGTGTTTCAAATTGCTTCATCAATGTCGAATGTCAAAAAGCGATTTCTCGACATACGGTTAACCTAGCGGTTCCTTGGATTATATGTATACGTAAAAGAAAACAATAATTGTAATGTCTGTGTAGAGATGTAAAAAAACGGTTTTTTTTCAGATGTGAAAAAAAACATGAAAAAAAAACCTAAAAAAAACCGGTTTTTTTTGTTTTTTTTCAAAATGAAATTTTGAGTAAAATATATACTTACCTATTAATAATAAAGTGAAATGTAGAATATATTAAATTTTTCATTATTAAAAATTTTGACCGAGACTAAAAAATCTGATTTCTTATTTGGTACTTTCCACATTAGTAACCACTGGTTACTAACCAGTAGCAATGTAAAACTTCTACACCAATACAAAAAATTAAAGGATAAAAAAAAATTGTTTTGCGATTCTTCGGATAGCTGTATCTTTGTTAAAAATGGTCGTATTGGAGCCGTAAAAAAAGCAATTTGAAGCTTGAAGTTTCTAGTTTTGAGATTTTTAGATGAAAAATGTGCAACAAATACCGTAATAAAAAAAATCGATTTTTTTGGCTTTCTGGTTCACGGAATGTTCTGACTTTACCACCAATGAATAAATGTTCTACATGAATTTGCTATTGTTTTTTTTTTTTTTAATTCCATACTCTACATGAATTTGAAAAATCATGAAAAAAGTGCTTTTGGTAGCTTTTTGAAAAATCAAGCGCTGAATCAAAAATATTATATGTAGTTACTTTTAGTAGGACCAAATCAAAACAAGCGCGGCCCTTATTGGTCAATTCGGTGGTGGTGGCGCGTGCATAGCGCGAAACTGTATTTACATTTACTAATTGTCATTTAGTGGCTAATTTTAGTCCATGAAACCTCAAAAATTAGGCAAATGGGACTAATCTTGAAAAAAAAACCTAAAATGTAAAAAAAACCATTTGAAAAAAAAAACAATGAAAAAAAAAACTGAAAAAAAAACAAAAAAAACGGACCGTTTTTTGTCAAGTCGCATCTCTATGTCTGTGCTTGGTTCAGAATTTGATGACGCAATTTGAAACATTCGCCGCGACAACTATACACAGTTCAACAAGATTTTCCTCCCATGAAAAAATTTAACAGATTTTAAAAATAAATGTTAAAAAATTGTACCCGTGTTTCACCGTTTCACGAAACCACGTAATTTAAATTTTTTATATGGTCATTCTTATTACATATTTTAACCTATAGAGATTTTTAATTCTCTATTTTGTTATAAATATTCTTTTTTCTTCAAATATTGTATGTTTTTACATAATAAAGAAATTATACTTAAAGAAAATAATAAATTTTAATAAAATAAATTACTGTTTTTAATTTTTGTTTTTTTATAAAACAACAAATTTTTATTTATCTTATATTCAATATATGTTGGAAACAAATAATGATCTTTTAGTTTGACGATTATACATTTCTTTAGAATCTATAGTGGTATTACAACCTAAAAAACACCACTTCATATACAAGGTGTTTCACATACCTAAAGTGAATAGTTTTTTTGGAATTTTAAAACATTGTTTAAAAGATTCAAATCTCTAAAATTATTAACTTTAGGTATAGGGAATAGTTACATTAATTGAAAGGTTTTTTAATTGGTTACTTGATTAGGTAAAAACAAACTGGGTTTTACTTTTAAAACAAAAAAGTTATTAACGTTTCAAGTTAGCATTTTCTTGGGTAATTTGTTGATAAATGTTAAAGAATTTACATGGAATCGTTTAAACAATGTTTTAAGATTCCAAAAATTCTGCCCCCATTTCCGCAAACCTAATATCAAAAAAAGTTATAATATTATTGATTGACGTGCATTTGTCAAATTTTAACGAAACAAAATAAAAACTGGAAAACTATTTACTTTAGCATGGTATAGTAATTTTACTCAGAATTTTATGTAGAATTTAAAAATGTAAAAATATTCGTTCCCCAGAAACTTTCAATGGACCACGAACATGAAACACTGTATTTCGTAAATGTGCAACACCCTGTATATAATTAAAATAATTTTGAAATGTAGCTTTTATGGTTGTCGTTATTCAGTAAATTTTTTTTTAACTAAACACCCTGTATATAATTAAACTAATTTTGAAATGTAGCTTTTATGGTTGTTCAGTTATTAAGTAAATATTTTTTTTAACTATACAGTCTGCTGGTATTAAAGCTATTATATTATGTGCCGAATACCGTGGATAACATTTAATAGGATCGCACTTTAAAAAAAATTACGTGATCTGAAAAAACGCCGAGACACGGGTATATTTTCAAAATCCATAGTAATTTTTCATGGAAGGGAAGAAATCAAATTTTGTCGTTCTGCGTTATTAAAAAAAAAAGATTTAAAATAACAAATCCTACCTGGATATGCTCTGTAGGCACCGGGACTGTTGTCCAAGATGAAAACGCTGGAAAGATCGTTGCAGATGGCGCTCAGATCTTTCGTGTAGGAGCCGAGATCGGGCGTGCAGTGTTGCCGATAGAAGCGACGTTGCAAGATGCCGCGGCCGGCGTCCAATCGGTCGGCCACCGCCGCGCCGTAGATTTCCATGCTGGCGGTAAAAACTACCAACTCGTACCACTGGGAAACCTGAGAAAATTCGTTTTCAGTGGAGATGCAAAAAACGTTTTCGTCGCTTTTTTTTTCAAAACAGCTTCAATAGTTCACAACGATATCTTTAAAAGGGTGTACCTATATTATTAATAAAGTAAACTATAAAATATATTTTATTTTCCATAATTGAAACCTTTAACTGGGTAGTTTCAACATAAAAAAAATTATTTCTTAATATTACTTATTATATTAAATGAATACTAACAGGGTTGTTATGATTTAAATTAATTTATTTTTTTAAATTTAAATCATGATTAAAATAAAAAATACGCACTGTAATAAGGGTAAAATTATAACAAAAAAATGTTGCTCTAGAATGTATTAACAGTTGTTTATCTGAAGAAGAATAGAATATTATCATCATCACAGCAAAATACAAAACAGATTGGGAACAGAAAAGTGTTTGAATAATAATGATGATAATAATATTTTTATAGAGAAAATGTGGTTTATTTTGTTGTATATAATAGTTGTTTTATAAAAAAATAGAAATTTATTGAGTTAATTTGTTAAACAATTATTGTTAGATACATAAGTATGTTATTTCAAATAATAACTTGTTTGTTTGTTATAAGACAAGTTAAAAGTAGTTTATACTTTAAACTGATTATTTTAAATAAATATTAAATAGTTCTTGTCTGTTTAATTAAAAAAAAATTAGGTCAATTCGTACTAATACAAAAATGTGTACACGTTTTAATAACAAAACAAAAAAAACAACCCTGATACCTACTAATAAAAATCCCTTTTTGGTTAAAATTTTTTATTCGTATTTTTATTGAATTATTGTAAAATTTTCGTGAAATAAATGCGCAAATTTTTGACTAAAATATTCGCCTATTTTAGTCAAAAAAATCTAATATTTCGCTTGATTGGATTATTAAAAAAGCAAGTTTTTAAAGGCAAAAAGTTTTAAGAAAAAATGAAATGTAAAAAAACCGGTGAAAAAAGTTTTTAGCCTAAGCATTATCATTTAAAATAAAACGTTTTAATTTAGTAAAATATCTTAAACTTGGAAAGTTACTACTTCTCTCAACAGATGGCACTGGAAGACTTATTTCAATGTATTATTGACTTTCTTTGATTAGTCCTTAAGTGGACAAGGAAACAATTTATTTTAAAAATGCAATAAAATCTATTCTCAACCTTGATTAAAAACCAGCAGTAAGTCATTTCAAGTTTGCACTGTTTTATTTAAATATTATAATTAATTCAATGAATAAAAACCTAATAATTATGAACATAATTATGATACAGCTAAAAAAATCCTGATAGTTTTTAAACCCTTGATATTTATGCGTAAAAATTTTTTGTACAAATTTTAAACTAAAAAAATACTAATGAAGTACTAGGTACTTTATGGATATTTGGATTTATATAAAATACATCCATAATTAAAAAATATTTTTTATTTTTCTTAATTGTTTTTTACACTTACACAACATTGAATAAAAATTATCCAACATTTAATTTATAACCACTAATATCAAAAACGAAATATTAAATATGCTAATATTTTTAAAAAACCTGTTTCAAGTGACATACCTAATTCATAAATATTTATTAATTGTGCTTTCTAAAACGTTTATTATCCCACAGGGTAAATACAAAAATAGAATATGGTAAAAAATAGTATTAAAAATAGTAATTTATTTTCTAATGCCAAACAAAAGCACAAAAAAAGATATTCTATAAATTATTGAATATTTGTTTATTTAAGTTACATACATATGTTTAAATTAATTAAAATTGTTATTTTGTAAAGATAAAAGTTTTTTTTTAAATTATCTACAAAGCAAAATTTAATTGATTGAATTATTTAATAAACAAATCGTTGTTCATATTATTATAATTATTTTTTTTACCTAAAAGTACATTCAAAAATAGATTTTAAGTGATTTTTATTCAATGCTTTAGATTACAATTTTGGTAATGAGCCATTTGGATCAAAACCAAAAATATTTTTATTTTGGTTGCTTTAAAAATTAAAAAAGGGAAATTTACCAAAAACGCCTTTGCAGTTTTTAAATTATGACACAAGATTTTGGCATAAAATAAATGAACAATCAGACAAATACTTGGCCAAACAGTTATGATTTAATAATGTTCGTATTATTATGTAACAATATCTATGGGTAAATATTTTAACAAATAGAATTTGATTTAAAATAAAAACTATACTTACTATATCTAAAAAGAAGTCAACATGCGGTCTTTTGTGCACAAAAAATCGTACAGGGTGCCTTTCAATATTGACTTTAAGTACAAAATCAGGTGGTGTTCCAGGTCTCACTGTTTGCCTTAAAACACCATCGTGGTGTGAATGAATTAAAGTCTCGTCCAAGTCGAGAACAAGGACTTTTCTCTTAACAATACCTAAAAATTTGTTGTTTTACATTGTAAATATTATTGGTTTTTGTAGCACTCACTTAGCCTGTGTCTAGATAGTGGGGATAAAGGAAACAAATCATATTTAACGGACTGGTGCTGTATTATCTGTAAAGAAGTCTGGTAATTAGGTTTTAAAGTTGGTTTTCTTTAATGCACATACTATATCACGGGTCTAATATCAAAACAGCACAAATTATTGAGTTTTATGTAATTGCCCATGCTCAAAAAGCACTCTAAAAATGCTTGAGCATTTTAAATAATGTTCGATATTTGAATTTCCCGCCAAAACATAACCCCGTGTTTAAAAGGGACCAAGAGATTTTAAAAAGTATTTTTTTAAATACATTCCATAGTATTTTGAAATTGTTTTCCAAATGAAGTTTGCTGGGTTTGATATTATACCCCTGATAGCTTTGAAGTTAAGACTGTTATATCTAGCTTAAGTTACAAGTTTAAGACAGTTATATCTGGCTTAAGTTGACATTCTTAAAACAGTTATACCTAGCTAGCATAAGTTGGGGCAAATTTTAAAATAAATTTAAAACTTTAAATTAGTCCAAAATTTAGATATTTTAATTTTACTTTAAATTAATTATGAAATTGGCCCTTATATCTAGCTTAAGTTGTCAATATTTCGACCATAGACATATTAATTAATATGTCTGTTATTCAGACAGTTATAGCTAGCTTAAGTTGACATTCTTATTAAGCCAGTTATATTCTTATAGACAGTTATAGGCTATAACTTATAGCTAATTTACATTCTTATTGAGACAGTTATATTCTAATAATAATTTAAGGCAGTTATAGCTAGTTTAAGTTGACATTCTTAAGACAGTTAAGTTGACATTTTTATGGCAGTTAGCGATAGTCCAGTTTAAGTTTACTGTAAAATTAATATTTTAATAATTATGTTAATCAACTGATTTAAATCATGTAATAAGTACGTAAATAGACATGCAAAATATTTTTATAAGATAAACGTGTTAATATAAATAAACGTGTTTTTCTCGTTTATCTCTGGAGTATTTGATGACAAACTGTCACAACATTACCTACACAGAACAATTTTAGGGGACCCGAGCATATATAGGAAGTAAACGTTTATTTAGTTTTATTTAGGTAATGTTACTCACAGCTCGAGTTTGCTTTTTGAGTGTATAGCATAAGCACGTCCAAACTCTGGATGCTATAAGCAAAAATGCCCTTATGCCCATTTGAAGTTGTTTCCACATTGAATATCAATTTTCTATAACACTTTCAACGCGATATTCTGTAATAATCAAGATTGGAACGTTCAATTCACACTTTCATTATTTTCACCGGATTTATCACATTTTTAAACGCACACACAAAACTTATCCAGTTACAAGCGCCATTAAAATCGACCCAATAGTGACTGAACGCGATGCGCGTGCGCGTGTTTATCCTGCAACGACAATAACCCGCCAAATTTGAATCACCCCTCTGGGGAATTTACATTTTTACGGAAATTTGACGAGAATGTGACAACAATGATTGTTTTACGTCAATTGCAACAATTTACGATTCTAAGAATTAAAGTATAAGCAAAATAACCTTGATTAAGTTTCTAATAATTTTTATTTCTGTTTGTAATAATTTTAAATATTTTGACAGTTAATTTATACCTACCTAAGTACAATTCGAGTTCACTTACATTTCTGTGATTTAAACTCAAACCATTTACTCAATGCTCAAACCATTGCTACCACAACTGTTACCAAGCAACTAAACCTTGTTTAATATTTACAACTAACTTTTGAATAAAATAAAACACAAATATTGTTAAACAAACTTTATTTAAAATGTTTAATTATATTTGCCAAGTTCTTTCTATAATTAAAGGAATAATTAACATCCTTTTTCCTAATAAACCTTACAACAGTTTTTGTAATTGTGGTAGAAAAATTCTCGAATAAACATTTATTAACAATTTCATTCCCTATGAAAATAAAATAACAAATACATTCTAATAAATTGGAAAAATCATATTCTTCAACTTCATTGACAGATAATAAATACAATATTTTAAATAAACTTAAGAATAATTTTTCATTGAATTTTGTTTCCAAAGTTAAAATAATATGAGCAGAGCAAGATAATGTAATCTCACTTTCTTGTGTAACAGGAAATAAATTATCTTCTTCAGTAAAGAATTTTAAAATTAATTTTAGCTCATTAAACAATAAATTATTTGCAAATTGTTTTAAAGAAACTAATAAATTTAATTCTTCATACATATCAGCATAACAACAAATATTATCAATACTGTTTACAAAATAATGTAAAATTTCCTGAGATTCTGTAGTATCAAACTCCCTTTCCTTGTTTTTATCATCTTGTAAATTCATCAACATTAAATAAGCTGTAAAACAAGCATTTGTTAAATCTATATTTAACAATTTTTTATCCAACTTAAACTCAGTTGTTAATCTGGTAACTAAATCCAATGTTTTTAGAACCAAATCAGAATTCAAGCTATTAGCTAATATAAAAGATAACTTTGTTACAACATTATCATTAATAAAATACAATTCCTTATTATTACGAACCACAGCAATTAAAAATCGTATAACCTGCACTAAAACCAAAGGATCATCAGAATCAATGTAAGATAAACAGGCGTAAATTTCCTCTTTCTCCAACTTTTCATCAGTACACAATGTCAAAATATTGGCAAACATCCCAATAACTATTTCCACAAATCTCACATTATCCGTGTAATTTTCCAAAGCACTGCACGCTAAACTAGGATAGGAAACCTCAAATAAATATTTACAAACGTCCAAATCCACCGTCATATCCCACAAAACACACAAATCCTTCTCGTAATCATCATCCCAGTTTAAATCGGAATACTGCAGTAAAGTCTTTAAAACAAAACGTTTCGAGTAAACTGTATCGCCTATAGAATCGCCACGTAATTTTGTTAGCGTTTCTTCATCCAAATCGCTTTCATCTACGTTATTTAAGATTGTAGGACTGAAACTTTGTACTGGGGAATCCTGGCTTTCTTCTGATGTGGCAGGATTTGAATCCATTGTTATTTTATGTTCTGGTATTTTTTTAAATGTTTATTACATCACAAATACTGTAAAACTAAAGTGACCAGATTCTGTCAAAAAAAACGGGACATTTTGTGTAAACTAACCTTAAATACAAAAATGTCATAATCAACAATAATTAAGTAACGTCAAATTTACAATTTGCATTGTATCATTGTGTCAATTTTGTAATTAAGGTAAATTCATACAAAATGTCCCGATTTTTTTTGACAGAATCTGGTCACTTTATGTAAAACATACGTTTAATCGTATAAAAATGCTTGAAAATCAAGAAAATTAGATTTTTGAAAATGTTTACATTATTTAGGTTGTCATTCTGATAACTGAAGTTAGCAACAGTTACAAATCCATTCCAGCCAACCACTTTAATTTAGTAATTTACCATGTTTATGTTGTTCATCCTGTTTGCAGCTAGCTTCATAACTATTAATGTCAAAAATGAAGATGGCTGACGGATCCACAATTTTGCGAAGAAATAGGCCTGGAACGAAGGCAAAGGTACGAAATTTCCTGAAAAAATTTGTAGAACTTGGAGTTTAATTATGCGCGGTTATTTTTTTGCTAATTTTGCTGGGTATATTTTTTAAATAAATCAAAACGGCTGATGTATGTGGTGGAACACTTTTGAATTTATTAGAAATCGTTTTTAATACTATTAGAAAACGTTCAGCGATTGCTTATGTATTAGGTTTATTTAAGTTAGGTTGTTTAAGTTTTTTTAAGAATAATAAGGGTAAATGAGTATTGCTCTTACTAAAAAAAATAGGTGGGTATAAAGTACTATGCCTAAAAGCCATCTAAATGAAGTATTTTATAAACTTATTATTTTAAATTTTACATATTAAGAACGCTAAAATATTCATTAAGTTTTACCGGAGGAATGATAACTACTTCTAATAAAAAAAATTGAATTTGTAATTTTAAGCTTCCACCATCTTTAGAATCTGAACTTGATATCAATTTAAGCTGGATATACCCAAAGATTATTATCTTTGGATATACCTAAATAATTTATGTCTTAAGAATGTTAACTAAAGCTAGATATAACTATTTTACAAGTGTAAACTTTAAATCTTTCTTTAGTAGGTATAAATTAGTTTATAAACAGATCCAGGACATGCCAGGGGAATGATATGATATTAAAGAAAATAGCTCATTAATTTGTGTATTTTTTTCAAGGATTTTTGCCGATGGCCCGACGAACTTTTCGAAGAAATGGACAGCACTTTAGCTGTCCAACAGTACATACAGCAACTAATAAGAAAAGACCCCTCAAATATTGACTTAATATTGAAAATGCCTGAATCTCAAGATGAAGGGGTCTGGAAATATGAACACTTAAGGTAAATATCATGTTATTTTTATGTTATAAAATATTTATTACTTATTTTTAGGCAATTTTGTATGGAGTTGAATGGTTTAGCAGTGAGACTGCAAGGAGAGTGTCACCCGGAAACTTGCACCCAAATGACAGCCACTGAACAGTGGATATTTTTATGTGCTGCACATAAAACACCTAAAGAATGTCCTGCTATAGATTACACCAGACACACGTTAGATGGCGCTGCCTGTTTGTTAAATAGTAATAAGTATTTCCCTAGCAGGTAAGAAAAATGTTCCATGCTTCATTTCATTATAAAAATTGTAATATTAATGTTTTAGGGTCAGTATTAAAGAATCATCGGTAGCCAAATTAGGTTCTGTGTGCAGAAGAGTGTACAGAATTTTTTCACATGCGTATTTCCATCACAGATCAATTTTCGACGAGTTTGAAAATGAGACTTGTCTGTGCAAACGGTTTACTCAGTTTGTCACCAAATATAACCTAATGTCAAAAGACAATTTAATCGTTCCGATTTTGGAAGAAGAGAGCACCCCCGGAGAATCTGAAGCATAACAACCTTGAATGTATTTGAAAAAATCATTTTTGTACTGTCAAATCGTTTTAATGTGAACAAAATTAGTCCTATTTATTAAGAATTGCGGATTTTGGTATGTATATGATGTAGAATATGTAAAAAATGTCACATGACAAAGTTTAAAAAACAATGTGGCTAGAAAATTAATATTTATACAGTGTCCAATAGGAAAAAGTATATTACCCATTTTAAGAAAAAAAATTGTTCTTCATTAAACCTGATTGTTTTAAAAATGAGAATTCCATAAAAAAATGTAAATCTTATGTACAGGGTCCTCAGAAATTAATAAAATATAAAAATGCGTTAAGAGAGAAGTACATTTATTATTTTATAGAAAAATTGTATTAGAGAAAAAATACTAATTTTATTAAATTTATTTTAACATTTGATTTCACTAAAATATAAATAAATAAAATTAAATGTTAAAATGATTTGATTTCAACTTTTAAATCTATTAAATAATAAATAAAGATTTAATTTTTTTGTGGGAATAGCATTTTTTAAACAAAAATAACTTACACTGTATATTGGAATTTTTATTTTCTAGCTTGTAAGTTTTTTGAAAATGGCTGTATTCATATCAAAATTCTTTGCATTTTATATTTAATTTCTAATATAATTTTCACAAAGTTTTATTTAATTTAAATAAATGTGTTAAGACCCAAATTTGTGTTAGAAAGTCTTGTATTGGCGAAAATTGTTAGAATCAGTTTAGGATAAAAAAAATCATAGTACTGTAGATGACCTATGCTGTATTATACACTGTATAATATACAGCTTGTATTTTTTTCTCCCAACAAATGTTAAACATTTTTTGGAACTGCACTATTAACTACATAAAGTAAACTAAAAAAAATGAAAGATTAAGTACATTATCTTTCCCAGAATATTGACAGCTTTAAATTTAAATTATTTGGAAACAAATTGTATAAATTATACTCGTATCTACTAAAATTGTATATTATTAAGTTATCTATAAAATTGACTTAGAAGTACTACAACATATTTATATATCTTGGACCTGTTTGAACTAAACATCTTTTGTTTTGTTATTTTTTTATGTAGAACCTAGAAAACAAATGTCTGAATATACCTATACTTCTTAATTATTTGTTTTTATGTTATATTTTCACGTTTTTTCCATTCCTCCTTTAAAGTTCTTAGTTTATCCTTTTTTGATTGAGATGCACTACTTTTTTTATTGTTTATTTGCTTTATTTGAGCCTCTATACTATTTTCACCATTTATGTGGTTGTCCAGTCTGGTTAAAAGAATATCACGGGCTTTTTTTCTATTTTGTTCTAAAAGTCTACTTTCCTGATTCTTTACAACAATACCTAAAAGTTCCATTTTTTTTGTATATGATATAAAAAATAGTTTATTGTTAAATTAAAGTACAATAACTGCTGTAAAACTTCTTAAAATCAATTAATATGGTAGCTATATTATTATATTTCATTACCTGTAGGAATATGTTTTAAAACCACACAACTGGAAGTTTTATTGATTTTTTGCCCACCAGGACCGGATCCCCTCACATGCTGCTCTTCAATATCACTCTCTAATAGTTTTGGAACCTTGGAATAATCAAGGATATGCTTAAATCTAATAAGAGGTAAAACTAACCTATTTACACTTAATAGTTGTGTTTTGTATAACATTTTTATTGTACTGCCCGTTTTATTAACACTATAATTCCCTTCTATAATAAAAAACAGATTAAACGTTATCGATGAATAAAAATAAAACTAACCTCAAAATTATACGAAATATCTTTCTCATCCGTTAAGCCGATATTCTTTCTGAACTCAGTTTTAATTCTTTCTTCAAAATACTTTTTATCTGTTAACTTCAATTGTTGCCCGTATCTTAATAAATCCTTGTATAATTTTAAAATTTGAATCCGTTTTGGACAGTTCATTTTAGTGAGGTTATGTCACCCAAAATAGTTGAGGTTAAGTTTGAAGTGTCACAACAAAGTGAAGCTAGGTGAGTAATTTTTTTATTTTTCCCGGTATTTAATAGGAAAGTAAACAATATTTGCGTGTTTTATGGATGTTTATTGGTTAGTCTACATTTTCTTTCAATTTCCAGTTGCATTTCAGCATTCTGAGCTTTTCACTTTTTGATTTTTTGTTTATGCTTTTTTTTTCTTGAATTCTTTTGATTTGTTGATCTATGCTGTCTTCTTTGTTTATAAGTTTATCTAGTTTTTGTATTAGGGCGATTCTGGCTCTTTTGCGATTTTCTACTAGGTATCTTGTTTCATGACATTTTACTGCTATGCCTTAAACAATTTTGTTTATAAATTGTATGTATATTAATTACCACTCTCACCTGTGGGAATATGCCTTACAAAAGCACAATTCGAGTTTTTATTTGTATTTGAACCGCCTGGACCTGATCCACGTATAAATTTCTCTGATATATCCCTTTCCAATAACTCTGGTACTTTTGAATAATCTATTGTTCGCTTAAATCTTACTTGTATTTGATGTATTTTATAATAATTATTAAATAATATATTTCTTAACATTATGCCAGTCCAAATAGGCGTTTTAAATAATAAAAGTTAAAGAAACATTTTTTAAACGATTAGAAGTAAGGTTATGTAATAATAAGCGCGAAGTTAGCCACACTACGTATTCTGGGTTGCATACGTTCATATACGCATATGAAAATACATAGCGCAATTTTTAAATTAATAAAATAGGTCAATTGAAGCGATTTGTATTGTTTTTTCAAGTAGTTTAGATAAAAATAACGGGATTTAATAGCGTAATTAGGTGCGAATGTTTTCAAGTGTCTATCACTTAATTGTGTAATGCTTTAATTAAAAAGCCATTAGGAATAAAGAAAAAAGGGTAATTGCAATAAACTAAGTCGTTTTTATTAGCGCTAATGAAAGTGCAGCTTGGTTACGAAAATATAATCATGATTTTGATAGATTTGGTTTAACAATTATTGTTAATATGCATGCATATAACATAATTTGTTATATTGTTTACTTATAGGTATTATACAAACAAACCAAGTATTGGAGAAATATTCCAAAGGTTTAACTATTTTAAAAATGTTATGAAGTAAAAAGAATATAAACGTTTGAATACCTATTTAACTATTTGACACCAACGTATATTCAAATGGTGTACTTGCATAAATAAATAAATTACCGTAACTACCTAACAATTGTTAAGTATTTTTGATTGTATATAAACTAAAAAATCATTTAACGAGTTATTAAATAATGAAGATTAAATTATATTTAGGAAAATTAAATAGGTAGTAAAGATTTCAAGTGTATGATAAAAAAACTATACATTTTAATTATATTCCACTGTATGTAGGTATACTCATGTATTTATATAGGTACGTGGGTTTTTGTATTTTAAACGTATGCCATATAAGGCATGCATTTTCTCCATTCAAAACAACGTCTTTATTCAACGCCTAAAATGATCGCTCCTTTCTTAGAAAGTCGAAGATTCAAAGATTTTAAGGTGTATCTTCTCGTTTTAAAAACATGTGTGTCTGCCAGAGGTGTGTCCCTTTATTACACCGTAATTATAATTGTTTTTTTTGTATGCCGAATAACCCAACCTGTTATTTCCTTGTACACAAAAAAATTGAACACGGTAAAAAATTGTTTAATAAGTACTTTAAAGGCCATAATTATGGCCGGAAGGAATTAGAATGGTTTAATAACAATAAAATTGGCTACTTTCTACCAAAAGATTTAATTTAGAACCAATTTGTCCCTCTATTAAATAATGCACGCACGCGGTGGTTCAACTATACAGTGTGTTTAATTTTTATTGGCGTTATTTGGTATTTATTTCAAAATTTTGAAAAAAAAATTGTCATGTCATTTCCATGGCCTTCTTTGAAGGTCTCCAAAAACGTCAAAAATATTCGGCATTTTTTAAATTTAAAAACATGTTTTTTTTTAATTTGGCATACCTAAAATCGTTTTTTAGGTATTACACAAACTACACATTCGCTTAGTTTTTTTACTTTGGCTTATACAGAGTGCTTCAAATTAAGGACAAATTAAAAAAAAATAGTCTTTAAATGGTAATATTAATCTAATTAAAGCCAAAATATTAATAAATTAACTATTTATAACTGATCTGTTAAGTACCAGTACACTATTTGTGTATAGTTTATTCATTTTATATTTTTTATAATTGTTTACTTTAATTTGTAAACACTCTGTATAAGCTAGAATAACAAAACTATACGAACGATTAGTTTGTGTAATAGGTACCTAAAGAAATTACATAATGTTTTTTCAATCTTTGCTAGAATTTAAACAGAGGCTTTAACAAATTGTTTTTTTCCAAATTTGACCTTACTTTTTGACTATCTTGTATCAAATTTTATTACAAAATTATCGTGTTTAGGTACTTATGCCAAATTCAGAAACGCTATACGATTTTAAATTTAAAAAAGCCTAATAACTTTTGAAGTTTTTTGAGTTTTTCTATTAATCATAGAAAGCCATGGAAATGACATATGACATTTTTTTATTTATAAGATAGAGATTTTTAAATTTTTTTTTTAAAACGAAATATTTTTAGATTTGAAATTTTAAAAGCATTAATAATCCATTTAAGTCTATTTTTCTAAAATATTCTAAAAAAAAAATGCCATTTCCATTTCAAGTAAATAAAAAATATGCTGTTAAAGACCGTATTTTTGTTAGTATACCCTGAAAATTTTGTACAAATTAAACAAACAGTAACGAAGATACAGCGCTTCAAAGTCGGTAAAAATGGCCCCTTTTTGATTATTTTGCTGAAAAGTGGTCATTTTTGACGACTTTGAATCGCTGTATCTTCGTTGCTGTTCATTTAATTTGTACAAAATTTTCAGGGTATACTAACAAAAATACGGTCTTTAACAGCATATTTTTTATTTACTTAAAAAAAATTACCTCAAAAGTTTTTTTTCGAACGTTTTTTCATTATTAAATAAAAGGGCTTTAAAAATATTTTCTCAAACACTTAAACTGAGATATAAGTTGAAGTATTTTTATCCAAAATTTCATAAAGAATAATAAAGGCGTTTTAGAGTTAGATTTTTTTAAAGTGGTTGCAAAAATTATGGCCAACACTGTATCTGGAACTTAAACATATTTATATGGATGGATAAAAATATATATACAAAAAAACAAATAAAATATCAGAGCTATCGAAGTACCCACCCCCTAAACTCCTTTTTTGACGAGCCGCCACTGGTATAGTGTTTAAGTGTAAAGTCATTATAGAAATCATAGAAACTCACCGAACATAAACAAATCATATGCCATCCTATAATAATTGCTTCTGATAATTAATTATTTATTTTTCGAGATTTCTTTAATTGCCAACATCAACTAAAACAATATGCTTTTACTCACGATTCCAATATCGCTTAAATTTTAAAGCTTAATGTTAGACGACTTTTTTTTGAAATAGCGGGTCACGATACGCCCGAAGAGGCACGTGTTTTTGCCTTAAAAATGCGGAAATATAAAGTGTACCATTTGTTTAGAATTTAAGATATAAATCTGTCTTTTGTTAAATGTGTTACATTTATGGTAGTAGAGATTGTTCCTATTTCTTGTAAATGGAATCTAGATTTGTTTTGGCCATTAGTTTTAAAATATTTAAATCGTACAACCATATCCTACATTTTAAGATGTTGCTTATCAATGAACATCAGTAATGGTAAGCACATGCAAAAAATAAGTTTTTATGTGAAAAATATTTTTGTGAGAAAAATTTTATTGTGGGAAAAATATTTTTATACAGAAAATATTTACTATAACGTGGTAATAGTTATTTATGTCATTAGGTTAAGAAGTATGGCTTTTTGTGCTAAGCTCAAGGTTTGAAGGCCGACGCGTAGCGGAGGCCTACAATTAAGCGAAGCACAAAAAGGCACTTCTTGGCCGAATGGCATACAACATTTTATCTTCAAAGCACTTTATATAGTTCAATTTAATTCAACATCGAAGCGGCCTAACCTCACTTTTTAAGAATCTCATTTATTTATTAGCTAAAGATTACATTAAATGTACAATAATTATTATTGCTTTTAGAAGCAGTAATAGTTTGACAATACCTAGCAACATGATTTAAGTAGAAATGGATTTTTGCTATTACATTGAATTCAATTAATTGTTTAATAAATTGGTAGGTAGGTATCTAATTTCAATTTGTTTGAATTTTTATTTAAAAAATAGGTAGTTTGGAATGTTTAAGCTGTGTTTAACATTTAATTTCACTGAAAACTTAAAGCAAATTAAAACTTAAAGATAATTTAAATCGTAGAAAAAGAATCGTGCGTTTTCTTGGTTGCCTAACCTCACTTTTTGTTTTATTATTCATATTTAATTTTACAATAATTTAATGAAAAATATTAAACATTAACAGTAGAACAAACAAATTAGTGCTTATTATAAATAAATTAAACCAGTTTAGTACGTTAATTTCTTAGAAAAGGATTAATTTGTCAAAACAATACCCCTAGCGAGAAAAAATCGAACTAATTACTTACCTCATAAAATTTTTTATCGGCATAGGCCATAAAAAGGTATTTCTTTATCGAATGTTGACAACAATAAAGTTTAAATTATAGACCGCGTGGAGATAAATACTTTTTTCATATACGAAATTTATTTCCTACGTGCATTAAAAAGTTTTTTTATCATTGTTTTACGTGGCCCAAACGGCGCTTCATAGTTGACTACTTTAATTTAAGGGCCCCTTTTTCTTCATATGCATATTAATAATTAAGTATACAATTAAGTATACAATATATTGATATACAGGGTGCATTGCGAATTTAAAATCAGTCATACATTTGTCTAATTAAAGATCCATGTTAAAATATCTCGAAACTTATATTTGTTGTCACAAATAATGGCTCGTTAAACATCGAATAATCTGATTGAAATGCTATATCTATAGATAATCAATCTTTTAATTTATAAACGCGAACAAAACGGCTTTTATGATTTAAGTTCCCACCGATCAAAAGACATTAAACCATTGAAAACTCTGTTACCGATGTCAGAGAACAATCAATTACCTACGCGTAAAGTAATCCGTAAAACCACTTAACGTCAGCGATACAATAATATTTATTGCTTTTTTTAAATGCATTGTTTGGGAATGGGCATTTATTATTATTATTATTATTATATAATCTTACGTCCCTTTTTACTTTCAGTCTCTGTTTTAATTATTAATCCCATAAAAGTAACAAATTACGATTTTTTTGTTTTGCAGATTGGTCACAATTAGAATTTACATCCAATATAGTCAAGTTTGTATCTAGATTAAGTTACATCTGGCTTAAATTGACGCGCGCGGAATTGTGCTGACCTTGACCTTTTACTTTAACCTTTTTAAAATACGTATCTATACAAAATGTACATTCGATGCCACCATTTTTTTCCAATCTATTTTGGCCTGCTTAACTCCAAATTCACAATAAATTTTTAGTGCAATATTGAAAAGAAGTCGTTTTTGTGGTTTTAATAGTATA